TCGTGATCACGCTGCTGAGATGAGAGAAAATCGTGATCACGCTGCTAAGATGAGTGAGAAGTTGTGCCAAACCCCGGACGAAAATGCAGGGGTCAATGTGAACAAATAATACCAGTGAATACTTACGTTTCACTGCCTAGTGAATCTTCCACGAAACGATATGTGAAGAGCATATGAATAACCTACAAGCAAACCAGCATGACACAGTGAAAGGACAACAAGAAATTCCCAGTGAGTCCAGAGCTCTTAGGAAAGTGAAGGAAGTCTATAGAAAGTCAGTGAAGTGAAAGAATTTTGAGTAAATCAGAGACAGGGGTACATCCCAGCTCCCCTACAGGATTCTGTTTGTACATGTCAAATTGCAGGATGCTTTTCAAATTGATCTCAGTGTCCAAGGAGAGCGGGACTTCTCTACACTCTCTGCGGACCATTTGAGCAATTCGAATACATTCTTGCCTTTTGACAAGCCGATTCAGGGGGTAGCTGGCTCGCTGGGATGCCAGATGAAATTTTCGAATCGAAGCTCTCAGCTCTCCAATAGAGTGTGCGCTATATGCTTGTCAAAATGCAGGATGATTTTCAGATCACCTAGGGGGTCCAGTGAGAGTAAGAGAAATTAAGTACCAGTGCTGCTCTCTCTCTGGACAACTCATGGAATCCGAAAAGCTTGTTGCCTTTTGATAGATATGTTTCGAGAGGCAGCTGGAAGGCTGAGATGGGGAAGATAGGAACAATACGTATTAATGCAGAAAGACAGGTGGAGCAAGGCCTCATACTCAATGAGCCTTCAACCAATCGAGGACGACTTCGAACGCCTGCTTTTGTGCCTGCTTGATAGTCTCGTCTTGGTATTCGCCGACAACTGCAAAGCCTGTAACGTTCTGTTAGCCACTACTTATGAAGCGAAGAATGAGACCTACCGTGTGGTACTCCAGGATATGTCCATTCCTGAACATCAACACCCTTCTCCTTCAAACTCTTGATGCCAGCCTGGCGAACCTCATCGCTAAACAGCGGATCTTCATTCACAGACAACAAACCAATAGGACTCTTGACCCCAGTAAAGTCCTCTCTCTCAATAGTGGCACCATGAAGGATGACAGCAGCCTTCACAGCAGGTCCTCTCCTGACCATGCCCTCCTCCACCTTTCCAGCGGCCTCTTCACTGACCTCTTTCTGGCCTTCGAAGACATCGGCGCCCAGTTCGCTGGCTAACAGCAGAGCGTGTCTGCCACCAACACTGACACCAACGCAATACACACCACCGCCAGCTTGCACAGCATCAGCGAACTCATCCTTGACGGCCTGCAACACCTTCATCAACCTCGGTAGCACAGAGCTCGGTGTATGTCTCGCCAGCCACATATCCAATCTGAAGCTCTTTGCCACCTCCGCAGCCCTCAACTTCAAAGACTCCAGGAAAGAAGTATTGTCGTCTCCAGCAGCGAATACAGAATTGGGAGCTGCATCATTGTTGAATTGATCAGGCATGATGACCAGATAGCCTTGCTCAGCGTAGGCGTCGGCTTGGAGCTGGTTGGCTGGGGCGTGAATGCCAGTGCCGCCGGTCAGGAAGAGGAGGAGTTTGCTGGGTGCGTGCGGGTAGTCGGCTGGTTTGGTTATGTAGCAGTCGATGTCGTTGAATTTGGTGATTTCGCCGGTGGGGGTTTGGGAGGATGAAGTGGGTTCTGTGACTCCACATTAGTATGGGATTTCGATAGAGATGAAGATGTGAGAGAGAGCTTACGTCCTGCTTCATGGATTTGTGCTGACTCTTCCTTTGCTACCATCAGCTTGCTTGGTTCGTGTCACTTGTTGATGGAATGGAGGCTCACTCCAAGACTGGGTCCCTGGTCGACGGCCGAGTCACCGGGAATGGCGCTCTGTTCGGCCAGGTCGCTTTCAGGTGCTCTAGTTGCTAGTTCGTCGTCTGCCATTTTGCTTGATGTTGTGTGTTTGGTTTGTGTTTCCACGTAGGTAGGGACTTGGATGAAATGGGAAACCGCTTCCCCACGAAACTGGAAGTGACGATGCAGCTGACGTCGCAGGGTCTTGTGCACAATCTATGCATATATGTGCTCGTTTTATGCCGGAATCTCGCAACTGCTACCACCCTGTCTCCAAGGCGACACACATAGAAGAATCATCAACCAACAATATTGCTTTCTGGAAAGCCCAGAGGATATTCATCCTGGCTTACTTGAAGTTCTAAGAGCCTGCACAGCTTGTCCGATATATCTACAATATGTTGGAATTTCATGAATCCACGCAATTCGTTCGTTTAATTGCCTCAATCGCGGAAGTAAAGAACGAACAACCCAACAGCCCGACCGAGCATAGCCTCGCACCTCTGACATACTACAACATACAAATAGCCCTGGAACCATGAGCGACCAGAGAGAAAATGCTCCAGACAGTTCGGCTTGAATTAAGCCATAGCCAGAAGGACTGGAGTAAAATTGGTCATGTTTGGATCGTATCGACAATGCTTGATCCCATGCTCCCAGGGCACTGATTATTCTAGCTGCAAAAATGCACGATGCTTTTGAAATGCCGCATCTCTCCAGTGAGAGCCTCCTAATCGGAGTCGCTCAGCATGTCCTCGTCGTCCTCCTCACGAGCGACATGCGCCGTCAAGGCCTCGATAGCTGCCGCGCAGCCGTCTTTCACTGCCCTTCGCTCCTTCTTGCCATTGGCGATTTCGGCCTTTTTAACCACCTTCTCGATGAAGTAGCGCAAGCCTTGTACCATATCAGGTACATCTTGAGCTTTTGAGAATACCTCGTTTACTGATAGCTCCCATTTGCTACCGTCAGAATTCTTCATCATTTTGATGAGAATTCTAGTCAATAGCACCTCAGTGAACGTGTTCGTCTTAGGTTGAAGGTAGGCGAAATTGAGTGTCTTGAGGGCCGTGATAGGGAAACCACCCTCCGTCATGAGGTCAGCGTAAAAGCGTGCCAGGTTAACGATTTTACGAGTGCTCATGTTCTCGTCCTCGTCATCGTCGAAAGCGTCATCCTCATCGTCAGCCGTCATTGCTTTCTCGCCCATGCGCTTGAAGATATCCCAGAGTCCGAATTGGAAGGCCTTGAGCATGCGCTTCTCGCCACAGAGCTTTTTAGCGATGAGTGTATAGTAAGGGTTGTAGGTGGCTTCAGCACCTGCGCAGTGAACCAGCACGCGAGGTATCTCAAGCTCCTGTGCCTTCTTGAAACCGAGCTTGAGGAGACGCATATGTGCATCCTGGTAATCTGAGGCTGACATGATGGTGACGAAGATGGCGCGACGAATGTCTGTGTTCATACCCTGCTGACGCGCCAGCTGGATCAAATCAACGCTACCGTCATCTGCGGACACTGTCGTTGAGTCGTTCTTCGATACTTTGACAGCGGGCTCGTCTTCCTGGTCCTTGGACTGCTTTCCGGGATCAAGCCAACTTGCACCAACAAGCCACCATTTACCCTTCTTCTCAGTGTCGCGGATATCTGCCAATCCAATACGAAGAGGCTCGCTTGCCTTAAGCGAAGATCTGTTGTTGAGAGATCCAAGCGTCTTTCTCATCCTTGTCGTGTGTTCTGATACGATAGCAGATGCAACGGCACCGGTCTTGACACGGTTGTTCTTGAGGTTGTTGATGGTCTCGATCATGAACTTCGTTCTCACTGACAAGTTTGCCTCTCCAATGCGGGTGACTTCCTTCTGAACCAACATGACGATATCCTTCAGAGCTGTAGGGTCATCTGAGCGAAGTTGAGGACCAGAGTTACGGATGATCTTCAGCAGGAGTTCTGTGTTGGCCTCGTTGAGCTCTGTCAAGAACAAACGAATGTAGTCAAAGACCAGGTTGCAACCAATAAGCTGGAAGTTGTAGAGCTCGGAGACAAGAGCCATCAAATTCGAGGTTTCCTTGCCTGCTGTGGTGCCTCCAGTATAGTGTCTGTCGAAGTCGTTGACAATGCGCTCAATGACTTGAGCACCAAAGTCGGTTCCGATGACCTTGTAGAGAGCGGCCATGAAACCTGCATGTAGGATGAGGAAAGTGTCCTGCAGAGTAGTGCGGTCGCAGATAAGTCCGAGTAGAAGGTCGATGAGGGTTGTTGTGACATATTGACGAGGGTTGTTCTGGTAGATTTCTTCGATGGTCTGTAAGATGGACAGCAGGTTTGCCTCAGAAAGACGGTTGAGTTGACCCTGGATCTGACGACGGAGGCGTGCCAGGGCTTCAGTGTCCGAGGAGGGAGCACCTCGCAAAGACGGCGGAACGTATTTTTGAACGGGAGCAGCGCCAGCAGGTACAGGAGCAACATAGGGGTTCTCGCGCACTCTCGGAGCAGGCGCTTCCTCTTCGCTGTCCTCGTCATCTTCGTCGAAGTCTGCGAATTTTTCTTCGTCCATATCCTCGTCGCCATCTTCCAGGTCATCTTCTTCATCCTCATCTTCGCCATCCAGGTCTTCGTTCTCCTCATCCTCATCATCCAGTCCGTCAAGGTCGAGATCTTCATCGTCACTCTCGCCTAAACCGTCCATGATGCCGTCAAGGCCATCGTCCTCGTCTTCGTCACCACTCATTTCCTCCTCCTCATCCTCATCCCCGTCCTCGCTCTCCTCGTTGTCTGAGGGTTCCTGCTGTGCGACACTGGCCTGACTGACCTTCCGCCTCTTCTGTCGCAACCATTCGTCGTCATCTGATCGCTTCCTCTTAGTGCCGTCAATGCCTTCGTCGTCATCGTCGTCCAGGCCTTCCAATAAGTCGTCTAATCCGTCGTCTGCAAACGCCTTTGAGCGTTTCGTCGACTTGATGCCTAATTTCTTTTCGAGGGCAGCGATTTCAGCATCATCTGCAGCCAATCTATCCTTGACAGCTCGTGATACACGAGCCGGCGGTGGCGACTCTTCACGGGCCTTTGATTTCGGCGGGTCTTGTTTCTTGGTCGTCTTCAGAATCGACTTAGGCTTGTCGGCAGCATCTTTTACAGGTTTCGACTTTGGCATTGGGGGTGGCGTAGGTTCATCATCTTCGCTCTCTGAGTAGACATGGCGTTGCGGTTGCGGCTGAGGACGTCTTTGCGGCTGTGGCCTTTGAGGCGGCGGGCGAGACCTCGATTGCTGGTGGCTCTGCTTTTTCTGATTTCTTTCGTTCTTGCGGCGTTCCTTCCGTGTTGGGGCGTTCTTCTTGTTGTTGCTAGAATCACCGCCGATCTGGTCCAGCAGAGCTTTCGGTAGCTTCGGCTTTATGAATGAATCGTTTGGACGCATGGCGAGTGTTCTTGGTGTTGGAGAAATAAAAATGGCAAGAGCATAAAATAATGTCTTGACAGCGAGCTTGGCGGCATGTGAAGTACCCCACATTCTCGGAGGTCATCTGCCGTCATGATTTGTTATAGAACGTACATGTCTACTTGGGAACGCTAGAGAGACGAACATGCTGCCGACAACTAAGACAGCTGTTCGTTAGTAACTCCTCATGCATGTCGCAACGACGAAGCACCTTGCACGCTTGTGCTTGACACCTTCTCCATCTTCTATACCACATCACAACCATGTCGTCGCATACGAGTAATGATGAGGTAGGGTCTCCCAGATGTACTTCTCAATGCATTGACTGACTGTATGTGTAGTTCTTCACCAAGCTGGCATCTCTCCTTGAGACGCGCCAACAGAAAGGTCACGGCAGCATCTTCTTGACACAGAAGCGATGTGCGCAGTTCTTCTACTACCCTTTACGAATATCCCTAACATGCCCAAGTAACACATGATGAATCCACTTCCTCCAAGCCTGCCGACTCCCCTCTCGCCGACCTCGAACCTCCATCAGCACCTCTACCCATCCTCATCCGCGCAACAGACGGCAACTCGCAGACCAAGGATCGCAAGAAGTCAGAGAAGATCAAGCTTAGCACGGTTGTGCAACCGGACAATTTGGAATCCTTCTACACACGCTATGCCGAAATCTGCAAACAAGGCATGCAAGCCCTCAAGAAGAGAGACCGTAGCAAGAGGAAGAAGCAGAAGCAAGGAAAGAAGAAGGCCCAGGACGACAAGAAATGAGGGCTTGTGGTCTTTACTGGATGTTAACGAGTAATGACGCTTGTCCACTCAAAATAATCGCTGCACCATTTGCGAACTGCATTGCCCACCCGGACCGCTTTGCTTGGAGTTTCAACGGCGGTCCTGGAGCCTAACATGCTCACCGAATGCTTGCACTCTGATCAAATTCGAGGAAAAGGTCGACGATCGGAGAGAGTCCTGCACCAGACTCGGCAAAGGTACAGAAGCCTTTGTACGCTGCACACCAGCAGAACAACTACCTGCTTAGCACAAAATGACGAATCAATTCTCAAATCTACAGCTTCAGCAATTGCGCTCCTCTCTTCGTGTTTCAACAGTTCTCTTTCGAGAATCTCTGCTTCAGATGGAATCATCCGGGAGACTATACGTGTAAGCTGCACTGAATTGATGTACCTCTGACAGCACGAGGTGCTGAACGTCTCGTTGGTGAGTCAGGAAAGTATCTGGTGATGAAGAGTTATGTTTCTTCATGTTTGTTTCGATAGCCTACTTCATTGGCAAGTTCACCGGGGTCGTCCAATGTGTTCTGATGTGGACTCTCGGCGACGACACCATCGCGACTGCGCAGCGTAACTCACGTTTATCAGCCGTGACCATGAACTCCATCCGGTAACGCGCAAGAACCTGTCAACACGCGAGCCACCTTTCTTCATGCTCAGTAAGCACACTATCTGCAATACATCAGTGCATTCCTGACATCTAGAATGATAGATCATGCCTCGCACCAGGGATCTGGGCGACAATTCTCTCACCAAAGCACAAATCAAATACGTCAAAGCCAAGCTGAGAAACATCATGCGTCAAAAAGCAGCCCTGGACCTGGAAAACACCAACTGGTTCACCACAGAAACTGCACGCTTAGCCCCTGAACAGTACATCAATGTGGAGATGATCAAAGCGAAGATCATGAACAACGAATACCGCACACTCAATGACATTAGAGATGACTTTGAGCTTTTGGTGGGAAATGTCGTTTGGGGTTTTGGTAGTTTGTGTATGGAGGCTATCAATGCTCGTGCTGTGCGTGATGAGTTTTACAAGCAGATGCTGGGTTGTCCTGCGGCTCCTGGCGGTGGTGCTGACGAAGACGAGGACGATGATGAGGAGTAGAACGGTGAGCAGTGGATTGAGTCTTGATCACGCACGCTGACAAGTATCCTCCAGCAAGAGAAGAAACAACACCAAATCACTCGTTGTATGCAGCTTCACTCTATCTCGCGTCCTCGTCACTTCCATAGGCTTCGGTGTTGTCGAAATCACTGCTATAAGTTTCCACTCTTTGCTCTTTCCTCCTTCTCTCTGCCCACATACAAACATCGAGTATTAAGCTCGACTTTCATCCTACACCAAGTCACCAATATCACAGAATCACCATCAGTAAGATCCAACACGCTTCACACGCTTCGCAATTTATCAGGACTGACAAGGGCTTTTGTAGACATGGGCAGAGCTCCGCGTCAACAGCTTGCCTCTATAAGAGCCAGAGAGTCAGAGGGCCGTTCATTCACTACCGAAGAGAGAGAGAGATTCTCCGCTGCCGGAGAACAGGCTAGAGTCACCGCCGAAGGATTGGTCAAGGACATCGCCGGCACCGAGAAGCTTATCGAGATGTATGTCACTGCTACTATCAACAACTGCAAACTCCAGATTGTAGTGGACAAGCAGGCAGAGCTCGCTACAAACCAGCGCGAGCCTGAGGCTAAGATGGACGAGATCGGCGAGATGGACAAGCCCGCAGAGGTGATTGAGAAGTCACTCTAGACTCAATCAACACCAGTGAGTGTATCGACATCAGATCACACCAGGCGCAGCAATGCTGACCAAGACCAACCAAAGCCCCCACTACTACGACATTGCGGACCAGATAGCAGGCCACGACAAAGCCATAAAGCAATGGCGCAAGAAAAGGTTGAGCGATTGGGGATGGACAATCTGCGCGTGGTCGCATGAGCAAGCCTATGAGCATGATCAACAGAAAACACTCTACAAGCATCAGGGTGAATCATTTCCAAACAATCAAACAGGCTATGGGGTCACAACACACAAGCTCGAGGTTTCCTCATGCTTCAATTTCTTGTCTTTTGACCACTTTTTAAGGTGGAACTCAATTCATGACCCCTCGTTCCACTCTTTCCTGCCTTGAAGAAACGATCATATCGATCATCATCTTGCGTCTCTTGTCTTTCGTCTTTTCTTTTGCATCTATACAACCTCATCTCTGATAAAGTCGTGGTGCGAATAGGTCGCTATTGAGTGACCTGGGTGGAAAGTGGGTTTGATAGCCTGGCAGCGGCGTGCGAGATTCTTTTTCCCTGGCAACAACCCCAAGAAGATCTTCTCGAGATCGCTACGTGCTACCTCGACACTATTTGGAAAGAGGCTTTGGACATCTCACTCAAGATCTGCACTATTGACTTCTCTGCCTTCTCAAGCTCAAACTCAGCTTTTGCTTTGCTCTAGTGTCTCCTCGGTCATGACCTACGAGTGTAGAGCTGTCCCATATAAGATCTCCTTCCCAGTCACTTTGGTTTGTCCAACACTTGATTTCGTTCCACATTCGAAGCAGCACCACGAACCTTGACACTACACCCCAACCTCTTCAGTATGGTCAGTGTAATCATCCATTGTCTAATTCCCATCGTCCCTCCTTGTTGGAAGAAAGTAGCCACCATTGGCGATTCGCAATCACCATCTCAGCAAGTCGTGGAACTGCTTACAGCAAATCCTGCATACTCCATCCCGCAGATAGGTGGCCCGGACAAAGCCATCGACATGTCTGGCGAAGAGCCCCTGCTGGCTACAGCAACCCACACTGTTCAGCTTCAAGCGACACCTGGATCGGGCATCTCTGCCAACGACGAGATCGACAACTTCTTTGCTGAGCTGTATGCGGAGAAATCTGAGCCTTCGACTATGGTTACTATCAAGAAGACCATGCCTACGGCACAACAACCACAACCACCCTAGTAGAAGGTATTTGATTGCAATAGCTCACAGCCATGATGCAGGAAATCGCTGACACCTTGTGGTAGTTTGCTGAACATTTGGTCATGTGTTGGTAAAGGGGCTGCTCCTGCCCTTTAAGGATATGTTTCGTCGGCTCGTGTCTGTTTCGCGGGCACATCTGTATAGGCCTGGAGGGAAGGAACAACGCTACTTTATATTCAGTTACTACACCTTCCTATTCCAGACAACGTAGTGTGTGCTTGCCTTGTTCAGTATCTCCAATAACTCTTTTCCCATATCTCCAACATTTATCGTCTTCTTACTCATACGTTGATTATCTCTCCAACACCATCATCATGGAAGACAAAGAAAACCAAGACCCGAATGCAATCAACACTTACCCAGCTATCACCCCTATCAGCCAAACAAGAAATGAGATGCTTCGATTAAGTCTTCATAACGAGCACCTACATCTCCAACTTACCCAGCTCCAAATCACGTACGCAGAACTAGAGATGAAACATCTGCGCATCGAGGAAGCTATCCGAGACATGGAGAATTTGCATCGACAGGAGATCAAGGTGCTACAGCAGAAGCTTGATCTGCAAAAACTTCTTGGAAAGTTGTAACACTTAAAATGGAGGAGAAATACTGAGTAAGTGGTGGTGGTTCTCTGAGTTGTGGTGGTCAGGGTGCTAATTGCAATGTAGTACTTGCCATCTGTTGTACCAAAAAGGCAACTATGGAGGATGACACAAAGGAAGGAAATGGATTGGTTGGGGCAAACATCCGAAACTGTCAGTCATCAGGACAAGTCGGCTGGCTGAGAATAACTCAGGACGAGGTACGGAAATGTAACAAGAGGAATGGTTGCACGCCGCATCTATTGGCGTGAAGAATGACACGACTTGTTGAAGATCTCCAGTTCTGATCTTAAAGTTGTTTGCTGAGCTACATTGCTGCCCCGTCACCACTACGTTGGCCACAGATATCATCTGGTACATCCCCATGATGCCGCCTACTATCTTGTCAAAAGTCATCAAACTCAGTAGGTCATCAGACTCAAAGTAAGCTAATGGTTACACAGTACCTTTCTAGTCCTCCAAACGTTCCTTCAAGCCTCTCTCCCACCTACATCCACCAAGGTTCAAGTCTAGCACTTATTTCCATCAGCAAACTTCCAAACACAGCCCTCAACCTCTTCCAAATGTCAAACACAAGAAACTACACCTCCCCCCGCTGGAACAACCTCTCCACCTTCCGCACAATCGTCCCCATATCCTCCCAACTCCACGCCCGCAACCAAAACCGCGAAATCCCGTTTCTAGAATCCCGACTCGAAATCTTGAATCGGCATTTGCTGGACACAAACCATGAGCTCAGAACCAAAATCGACGAATTGGAGGCGTGGAAGAAGAAGTGTGGGGAGTTGAAGAGGGAGAATGAGGGATTGGGGAGGGAGAATAGGGGGTTGAGGGGGAGGGTGGGAAGGTTGGTGTTGGAGAATGAGTTGTTGAGGGGGTTAGAGAGGGGGAGGAAGTGAGGTTGGTTTGAGATGGGTGGTGGTTACACCGAAAGATTAGTATTATTATGGTAGACCTTGGGTAAATTTGGCCTCTGAATGACGACAAAATGGTTTGCACTGGTGAAGGGGGATTCTGTCGAGTCACGAGTGGGAGCGGTTTTCCCTCAGGCTTGAGATACAACAGTAAGAAACGGCCGAGAATGATATTCGAGGGCTTCACTTACTTCACTCGACTAAATGACAACTAGCTTCTCGTAATTTTTCTTTTGACTCTGAATCATCTCATCAACATCACAAGCCACAGCACATCAGCCAACATGGACGACCAGACCACAAAGGAATTGCTCGGAATCCAGCGACAACTCACTTCCATCGTCACACGCAAGCGCCAGAGAGGAGACGAAGAAGACTTGGAACGAAAAGTCAAAGAACTCGAACGTCGGCTCAAGGATTCCTTCAAGAGGTCGCAGAGAATGAGCACAGTCCACAAGCAGCTCAAACTGAAGCATGGAAAACTTCAGAAGCGCCTTGAAGAGCAGGAAGAAGCAGCAAGCACAACGATTGAAGGATGGCAAGAAGAAGTGTACGAGTTGAGGGACAAGAATGATAAGCTCATTCTCAAGCTGCGCAAACTGGAAGAGCGCGAGCTGGCTTCAAAGAACGTACTTCCGGTACTGAAGACGAAGTTGGATGAGGCGCTCAAAGTCATCACGGAGCTGGAAAAGTAGGAACGGCTCTTAAGTCTCGTGAGTTAGACCATCTGATGAGAGCAGGAAGTTTGACGTATCTAACCTCGGGTCTAGAAACGGATGAGGGGGGAACAGCGAGACTGATTTCGCAGCTCCAAAGACAGTCCAGTTTTTGGAGTTCAAGCAGTTGCATGCAGGATCGAGGAAGGAGCGAACGTGTTGTTCTCACCTTCAGACGTGGAAACAAATGATGGAGGGATTAAGCAAGAGAAGTTGCAACGGTCCAAGGTAGGAGTCCGCCACACGTGATACGCTCGCTTCGAAGTGGAATAGGAAAGAGTGATCGGCCAACAACGATTTACAATGCCTTTCTACTTTGAACACTACAACAGTTTCAGACATCTGTACTCAATCCAAAGTTTTTCAAACACATCATTACATTCTTCCTCGAACATCGCAAATCACATTACACCAGGTGATATGGACGAAGAGACAGCGAAAGCACTGCACGACATCCAGGATCGTATCACCAAAGTCATCCGCGATAATCGGCAGAAAGCGAGATTCAGTAACCATGACGAGTTGACACATCAACTCTCAAACTCCATCATGATGTACCAGTCTGCGAACACTACCATCGAACAATTGGAAGCGGAGAACGAGCAGTTGAAGAGGCTGCTCACATCGCACAAGGAAGATACTCGGAAATCGAACCTCAAGGACGATGACGAAATGGAGATGACCGAGCAGTTAATCATGGATCTCGATCGTGGACTCGAAACCTCCGTCTATGAGTTTCAGACAGCAAATGCAACCATTATAAGACTAGAACAGAAGGTCGAGCAGCTTGAGAAAGAAGTCAAGCTTCAAGAAGAGATTATCGAGACGTCTCAGAAGGCAAATCTGGAGAACGACAATGAATTGGAACACAAAGCCAAAGATCTCGAGCATCGACTCTCGTCTTCAATCAAAAGGTGTCAGGCAGCCAATTTGACCATCAAGCAACTCAAGGAAGAAAGGCAATGTGAGCCGCGCTCCAAGCCTCAAGAGAACGCCGAAAGCATCCGATACGTACTTGACCGTCGAGTCCTTCAGGCCGAAGAAGACATTCTGCGATCGGAAGAGAATGATGGGTGAACCGGAGAGCGAAAACATGAAGCCCGACACTAGGGTGAAGTGACCAGCGAAGTGCGAGGCGAGCTCGAAGAAGGTTGTCCCTGCGCCGAAGATGGATGTGGAGTGGGAAATAAGACCATGACAGACATGGAAGACAATCCTCCAGGACCTGAGAAGACGTATTTGACACGAGAAAGATACAGCCCGTCAGGAGGAGAGATGAAGAGAGTGTTTTACAAGTGAAGGAGACATCGTCAATGGCAGTCGACCATGGAAGTTGGCACGGACGTAAACTGATCGATTCGAAGTCCTCTGGGAATCGTGTATATCAATGTATCACTTAGTTCGCCGTTGGAGCTTCCCATCAGCTCGCCTGACTATTCGCTTGCCATCGAGACTCGAAAATTTCTCGACAATAGTTAGCCGCGTTTCATCTCGGCGCTTCGCCAACTAAAACCTCGGAACACTCAAGCACACGGCACGCTTGAAAGTAATCCGCAAACATGGTCACACCCGCAGATCACATCAGAGAGCTCCGCCTCACCAACAAGTATCTCAGAACCAAGAACGGATTCCTCAAGGAAGAAAACAAGAACCTCATGGACGAGAACGAAAACCTCAAGGCAAACATCGACATGCTGAAGAATGAGGTCGCCAAAGACCAGGCCGTCGCTACCGCTGCTGGAAACAACAAGCTCCTCAAGGCTAGAATCAAGCAACTCGAGGACTACAACAAGGAGCTTGAGGAGGAGGTCAAGCATCTTCGTCAACAGCTCGACTACCACATCCAGCAGAAGAAGATCGCCAATGATCTTTCTGTCTTGAAGAACTATGCATATGATATCGATGCGCAGATCAAGAAGGCTGAGAAGGAGATGGTGCTGTTCAACGAGTTGGGCAGCCACATGAAGGCTCTTGACATCATGGCTGCCATGGACGAAAAGACTGTGGCAATGAAGAAGGTTGAGGAAGACGCTGAGACTGCTACTGAGAAGTCTTTCGAGGAGGCCGAAGGTCCTGAGGATTGCGCAAAGTGATCCAGGAGTAAGTTTGTTTGCTGCTCGGTCTGGTCAAAGACTAATGAACCTCTATAGCACCACCATCAGTGAAAACTACGAGCGATCACGTCTCAACTTGACGACTTTGTCATGAAAGCAAACAACAAGCACCGTCAATGTCCAGATCTGTTGTGATCTACCCTTCCAGCTTCCAGCAGAAGACTTGGAAGTTGGAAAGGATAGTATGGGAAGCCGATAGGTTTCAAGAACGACAAGAGAAGATGAGACGGGTAAGAAGAAGATAAATAGAGATGCACCAGTTTCCCAATCGTCGTCAATGCAAAAGTAACATAGATTCTTCTGGATCTTTCCCATCTGCTCCATTTGCCAAATGAATTCGTGATTTGAGACTGTTGTGACACTTGTGACTACCTCTTGAGCTATCATCAAGTTTGACTGAAGAATTATGTTCAATACGCCAACGATGACGTGTCAAAGTCGGGATGCTATCTCCGGAGGATGTTGCGGGTGGTGGCCAGTTGTAGTTGTTCCATAAATTCATCCAACGTCACTTCCACTTCGTGAGTTTCACGACATTGCGTAACTTTGTTTTTCTTCGTCGCGTAACTTCCGCATCAGGCGCACAACTCTGCCCAAGTCTTTTTACTTTTCTTAATTATGAACACCACAATCAACGAACACTTGGCGCACCAACTTCACGTCGTCACAGATCAACTACGCATTGCTCGTGACAAGACCTACCACTACAGACAAGTCTGGCGCGATGCACATCAAGAGATCAGAAAGCTAAAGGAAAAGATCGCATGGCTCAAAGCAGCACAGAAATTTCGAAGGAATGTTCTTGAGGGCCGGTTGAAGCTTCTGTATGAAGAGAACAAGGACTTGAGGGACCAGCTCGCCGCTCTCGAAGCGCTTTCGACGACGTCTGCAGAATTGAGAACGGACGTCGAAGCTGCTAAAGAGGAACTAAGAGATTTTCGAGAGAGGTTTGGTATTGTTGAAGGAGAAGGAAACGTGGAGAAACAATGATGCTCAAGCTACCGAAGGATCTCCTGCCGGTTTTGTGTCGACTACGAATCTTCCGACGACTGCCTGGCGAACCAGGGACTCAACTTTCACAGCCGCTCACAACCTGCTTCTCCTTCTTTCCCCGCTCTTTATCTTTTCTTGGTCTTACATACAACTCACCGCACCTTTTTCACGGCGCCATCTTCACCATGGCTCCACGTATCAGCTTGTTCTCCCGCGCCTTGAAGATGGGAGCAAAACAGAACAGTGTCCAAGCCAGAATCACCAAAGCCATGTGTCATACGGTGGAAAGTGCCTCGGAAGAGAACGAGAAACTCAATGATGAGAACGAACGTCTTCAACTCAGAAACTACGAGCTCAAGAGAGAATTGGAAGAAGTCTACAGAAAGCTGTGGGAAACGGAGATTGAGCGTGGTTGATTCAAGTTCTTTCTTCCGGTGAGTTTGCTACGATTTGTTTGTTTGCTTGAGAGAAACAAGCTGACGATCTATCAGCTTCTAGACAGATCTTCTCACATTACCACAATCATCACAAAAACAACACTCGCGCATTTCCCAGTCTACCCTTTGCCCTTTGCCCTTTACCGACCACACATCCGCACACAATCGAGCCCTGCACAAATCCAGAAAAAAAATTCCCTTCGCAGTCACCATGGAAGCCGCCGTCGAAAAACAGAACGATCTGATCAACCTCCTCCACGAAAACAAGATCGCCCTCTCTGAGGCCAAGGCCGCTACTGCTCAGAGCGCTGCTACTATCACTAAGATCATCGACGAGAATATGCAACTCAAGCACGAAGTCGAGCGTCTGCAAGCCGAGGACAAAGAGCTCAGATTGAAGCTGTGGGACGCAACTGAAGAAGAGCGCATGATGGACGCTGGACGTCTCGGCGAGGTTTTGAAGGTTCTCTGATCTTTCGACGCATCTTCCATGGTTGTTCGTTCACTGAAGACATGTAACAATGGGAAGGGCGAGACAAAAGTTGTGTCGGCTCTGAGTTCAGGGGTAAGGCAGTCTCAACGAACACACCTTTGAACTCGATTGTTGACAAGATCATATAGAGATCAACCGCCTTTAGCATGTACTCTTGGGTGCTTCCAATTCCGTCCTCCTCCCCTCTCAATCATGCCCTTTGCCCTGAAACACAATAGAGCAGCCACGTACACACAAGTTAATCGACGGCCCTGCGGTCTTAGTTGGCTTTGCCCTCAATCAAATCGCTCTGAAACAATTCCCCGAATACCCTTATGCGCGAAACGTGACCTCTTTGTGCATCTTGTTCTATTTGATTAAATTGATTTGAGTGATCTTATTTCTGGTTCCGAACATGAGGCAGGCGCGAACAGCTTAGCTTTGTTTTCTCGTGACATGGAGCCTCTTCCCTCCCACATCCACATCCATCATCCATCACAATCGCCGTTCACATTTCAACTCACAACGTTCAATCACAACAATTCTTAACGATCATCTTAACACTGCCACCATGCCTGACCAAACCATCAAGGAGCATTTCGATACCATCGCCACTGCTCTGGATGCCGCCACAACCAGGGCCGCCGGCTACAGCAAGACAATTCAGACATGTATGAACCAAAACAAGCGGCTCAAGTCAGCTTACAAGAGAACCCGCACCGAGAAGGCGCAGCTCGAAGCAGAGAACCAAACGCTTCGCGCCCAGAACGACAGACTCACGGAGATCATCGTCAAGAATGCCAACATTCTCAAGAAGGTGCAGGAAGAGATGAATGACCTGAATGTTCGGCTTGCCGGCCCCATTTTTCGTCTGAGTATCCGAGACAAACTCAGAGACAAGCTCAGCGAGCTCGACGAGCAGTATAGGACAAGCCAGTCTGTAAAGCACTTCGAGAGCATGTATGGTCCTAGACGTATCGTTAGGTCCGAGGAAAAGGACACGGCCATCTCTCACGACAACTAATCGACACACCGAAGTCTGTTCTTTACCAGGGGATTGCACGTGAGCTGGAAGGAACCACCAGTAAGCATGATCACACTGATTTGCAGACCTGCCAATACTGATAGACTGAGTAGCCCAAATGTAAGGCGCGAGTGCAATATTGACCGCCGGGAAGCGCAAGCAGATGAGTCGAGCTTTGTCTTGAAGTAAGCCAAAACAACAACTAATCATCCTGAGTACAGTACTAATCGCTGTGTCCAGCTTATCCTTCGTCGTTCGCATGGAGTAGCTTATCAGCCTGATGTTGGACTCCCCTATGCATGACACTCGACCTCCCGCAAGATATTTTCATACGACAGTCGAGGTTGAAACGATCAACGGTTTCCACAACACTCACTATCCTTCTTTATACAGCACGCTTAGAATATGAGGTCTTTCTCTGAGGGCGTCTACAACAATCCCTGGTTCCTTGTGTTGTCGTGACGATTCGCTCCTCATTGTCAATGATGACAATCATGAGACAGTGGCGGTCACCTCGAGGCAGTCAATACACTCCTTCCCAATTTTACTTTCCCAACCCCAGTCCTTGAATTGTAGTTGGAAACAGGACAACCTGAAAGAGGGTACTTCTGATTCACTTGTGGAGCACTTTTGACATCCGCCTTCACCTTCATTTTTTCACGAGTTCATTTCACTTTCAACACCAAGGCTGTTTTTCTATTTGCTCCAAACCCTGCATCCTCTCTTTCTAGCAGACCATCGTTCTCGCAAGCGTCATCAAAGGATTGGAGATTGTTCTGACTGCGTAAAGCCGACCACACTCACCAAGATGATTACAAAGATGTTACCAACCCGAGTCTCGCAATTCCGGTCAGTTCACTATTCTGTTACAGATAATCATTCGGCCGCGAAGTCCTCTAACACTGACAACAGCGCACTCCACATGCTCAAAGCATGCAACCAGCGTCCGAAAAGCACCTGTCATAGATCCAACTCACAGATCCAAGAGCGAGAACCCAAGACGCAGCCAGTGAGTTGATTGAACCTTTATCAGCCAGACTCGTCCACAGCACAACACTGATGCAGCCGTCAAATAAGGACAGCCACGAAAGTCTAACTGCACACATCGCCAACTTCGAGAAAGAAAACGTAGCTCTCAAGATCGCAAATCAGAAGCTCATAATCCGCACCGACGAGCTCAAGGAGTGTATTCGCGCCAAAGATACGCAAATCAAAGACTTGCAAGACAGACTCTCTTCGCAGTCGGTGGTTGGTGGACAAGGCGTGAAGACGGTTACACAGATGGAAGGGGCTGAGAAGATCTTCCTTACGCTCAAGGCTAAGCACGTTTGAGCTGGGAAGGAACTTCAGGAGTGCGAGAGAGGGTTGAAGATGGGTCAGAGAATCAAGATGGAGAAGCAATGGTAGAAGGAAGGACTGGCCTGGAGCAGTGCTTCCTCGTCCTGCGTTTTTGGATTGAGCAGCCATGGTCCATCAAAAACAGACACAATCTGTTGAATTTCCTGTTGCTTTCCAAGTCCCAAAAGTCGTGACTTGAAAGTAAGGGAAAATACTGGTTTGATCAAGAAGCCGATAGAGAATCGAAAACTTTTACTTACCGGGAACACGCTATCCCTTCCGACAACACATCAGAACTTCACCCATTCTTGGACTTGCTTCAACAAAGATATTCTACTTCGAAAACTCTTCTTCAGTGACAGTAACACGTCAAAGTTACACGAGAACACCGCAAACATCAACACCATCTTCATATCTCCACCGCGTGAGTGCATCTTCTTCGAGAGAATTCATCTCATCAAATTGAGGACTGCAAAATGAATCCCGCCACCCCCTGAATCGAACCCTGGTTCTTCCGCTACACACCATATGCCATATAACCTCACAAAATTGAATTACCTTCCATGATCCTCTGAGTTGGCGCAATGGCTTAACCACCAGTGGTGGCACAGATCAAAGGAAATTAGCGTCTGAAGGGTTTTCCCAGGAGCTTTCGAGGCTCGGGTTTTTTTGCTATTTTGAAGAGGGAGGGTGGTGTGGTTTTAACTTTTGAGAGGGACATAGGGGCACGATACATCAGCACAGCACCGCTCTCGACGACGAGAATTTGCCGTCTCAAGTCCACTGCCAGGGAGACGAACGCTAACTTCTGCATCATGTCCAGCTTGTCTGCCAGATACACAAAAAGAACAAAGGGCTCATGTCACGCAACACGGAGCTTGAGGAGAAGGTTGCACAGATGGAGAAGGCTGCAAAGATCCAGAGGGATGTTGCTGCCGTCATCAATGAGCGTGCTATCGCCGCACGCGACTTCCAAAAGAGCCTTCTCGCTCAAGTCACGAAATATTTCAATGATCGAGATGAGCCTGGAAAAATTTTGAGGAGCAGTGACGGCAGGAGTAATTGGCTGTAGATGCCAGCACTCCAGAACTACTAGATTGGAAGCGGGCCTATTTTACAGACTTTCGTTTCACATGAATGTTTGTTATCGTTCCAACGTGCTTCACTCTAGATGAGCTTCGACAATGCAAAACCATTTACTGGAGATTTATCACTCTTCATCAATCGTCATCGTGCACTAAACATCAACTCGCTTCTTCAACACAAACATCCTGCCAGAAACTCGACAGTGTCCTCTCGCTCAAGTACATTCAGCATCGGCTCTCCAGATTGATATGATGGTAAGTTCTACTCACTAAAAACTTCTCCTGTGCCATCGAGCTGACAGAGCGACTGCTTAGTCCGATGCAAACCCCAACCTCGTCCAGGACTCCGAGATCAGTGGCCCGATCAACGTTGTGCTCGAGGACAAGATCAAGAGATTGACAGGCGATGTCGAAAGGTTGACAGCCCCGGCCAAGAACGATTCCAACACGATCAAATTGCAGCAGGTCAGGATCAGATATCTCATGAAAAAGATCGCAAAGATGAAGGGGGCCACAAAGATACGGGAGGAAATCCTTGTTCTCGAGGAGAGGCTCGAAGCCGGGCGTAAGAAGAATGAGGATGAACTTCTTGCTCTCCAGAAACAGCGCGATGCCGTCGATCAGAAGACTAAGGAGAAAATCCAGACTTAGGAGACTCAATACCGTAAGGTGGACGACGAGCTATTTAATCGTGAAGGAGAGCTCAGGATGGTCGAGGAGGATGAAGAAGAGGAGTAGCGAAGTTTGCCCATCATTCTGGAGCACCAATCGATCGATTCTGGGCAGCGAGAAATACCGTATCGATCATCTGCTAGTGAAGCTTCACTTCTCGAATTTCACCTTCACTTGATCAATGACGACCAATACCATTTTCTTCAATACCACCCGTTCACTCACTACTATTGTGACTATTGTCCATGTTTTCACTCTCTCTCACTCAATCATTAGTCACATTCAGACAATAAGACTCTGCACCGCACTCTTCTTCCTCTCCTCTTCCTCCATCGCCATCTCATCTTCTCCATCTCGTTCTACAACAAAGTCGTTTGGTCCATCGTTCAATCGAGTCATACGCAAATTCAAGACAACCGGCGCCGCCCCCACCATTCCCACATACCAGCAACCATGTTCTTCACATCAGCCCAACTCTCCGCCGACCCAGAACTCCGCCCCATAACCTGGTCCTCCCCCCAAGCCTACCAATCCGAACGCCACTACCTCTACACCCAACTCGCCGAAGCCCTGCATATTTCCGCCTCCTCCTCTGCTACCAACAGTGCCACCACCAGTACCTCTGACATCTCGAACCCTTCCTCCAACCTCCTCTCGCCCAAATCCAGCAGATCCGATCTTGCGTCTACCAAGAAGCGCGACTCTATGATTTCTTGCTCCGCTGACACGATCACCACGCTTGCAAGCAAGAAATCTGCATCCAGTTTGCTGAATGCTTGTTCGAGAAAACTGGTTTCGCCGTTCTTGGCTTCTTCTTCTTCTTCGTCTTCGACGCAGGTGCAGAAGTTCAAACCTGTTACCTTCAACTCTCCACAAACTTCTGTTTTCCGGTTCGATACTGTTGGACCTACCGCTGCTAGTGCCTCTGCATCTGCTGCCACTTCCACTGCATCTGCCACTTCCACTTCCACTTCCACTTCCATCACTACTACAACAACTCCAATGCGACCTTCCCCAAAGAAGGTGGACTCGGTAATGGGCTCGCCAATCAAATTCCTAAGCCCAAGTCTCTTCAAACGCAACAACAACAAGATCATGCCCTCCGGTGCTGCTGGAAAGATCATCAAAAGTTACGCCATGGTCAAAGAATCCGACACCTTCAACTATTTCAAAGGACTTGGTGGTGGAAAGAAAGATGGTGAGGACTGCGATGTCAGCAAGAAAGACATCATCCACGAGCCCAAGTGTGGAGACATCACTACCCACAACTCCGAGGAAAAATCAGAAAATGGCAAGAGCGGCGAGAAAGCAGAAGAAGCCGCAGATGCAAACCACACAGACAACGCCAAACCCGCAAAAACACCACTCCCCGTCAACCCCGACATCAACGAAAAAGGTATCTTGTACATCGAGTACTTGGGCCTTGCCGTCGTCGCTGCATCGCCAAAGTCAATGGAGGAACAATATCTCTTCGTCAAGCAGCAGATCCAAAAGTCCAGGGATATGGGATTCGAGGGTTCGTGGTCATGATGTGATGGGTTGAATCTGGCTCGAGGTTTGAGCGGCGGTGATGGGTGATGGTGATGATTAGGGATGTGTAATCGAGGTTGGGAGTTCGCTCTTCAAGTTTCGAGGATGATGGGGACATGGATGGTGGAGTTGCTCAAACGAGAAGAATGGGGAATGGAAAAGGGCAAGGAGGAAAGGGTTGCTGAGTGATGAAATGGCGTTGCACCATTAAATCAATATTGCTTTCGCTTAGACATGAAAAATTTGCTTCTGTACCTACAATGCAAAACGCCATGGCTTAGCATGGAAAAACGATTGTCTCCCTGAACGCCTACAATGTGTTTATGCCATGCCTTGTGTCCCTCCCATATCGCTTTCATAAGCCATGTCCGGGTATTCTCGTCAACCAATGCAACAACTCCTAGCAAATGCACAACTCCAACAAGAAACCACACATTTCATCATCATCGTCTGCCAAACCTGCCTCTGCCACTGGCCTTCGAATTCTTGTTCTTGATTTTGAGCGCTCTGAAATTCGCATGGGCGGTGGCACTGATCTTTCTAGCAGTCTTCTTGACAATGCCATCGGGTTTGGAACTCTTGGAGGCGTCATGATTGTCTGTTGTGGTGGTTTTGGTGAGTTGACGCTTCCGCTTTGCTTCTGTGTCGCTGTATGCTGCGTCGGACTCTGCGTCTGAGATGTCGTCAAGAGGATGGTCGGGAAGTTGTGTTTCGGCGACATTGCCTTCGTCGTCTGAAGCTGCGTCGGGCTGGACTGGTTGAGCTGGGACCTTGGGTTTGGGTTGAGGACGCACTGTTAGGGATTAGCATTGGTCGTGTACTTCAGATTGCAAGTGGACATACTGTTGGTTCGCTTGGTCTGGCGCTTCAAGCCCTTCTTCTTCCATGGCTTTCTGAAGCTACCGGTATCTTCCTCTTCAGACTCGTCGCTTTCAACACCCTGATCAGGACCCAAGGGCATGACGACTTGACTGTCGGCGACTTGAACAGTAGGTTTGACTGCAACATCCTCATCACCTTCTTCCATCTCACGCATCATCTCTAGCTCCTCGTCAAGTTTGTCATCCTCTTGTTTCCTTAAGCCTTGGATGATGCTGCTCAGACTTCTAACAATGCCGCGTTTCTTGAAAGGCGGTTGTCTCATTCTGCCAATGTTCATACTCTTGAGCTCGTGGTCATTCTCGGCTTCCTCGACCAAGGTGTCCATGATGAGCATGTTGGATGATCTACGCAGGAAAGCGGGTGTCGAAAGACCCTTAGCACTAGACGGCGTAGCATGAGTGGGTTCCTCGTCGTCACGTTTCCGCTTCAGAGGTGTTGTCGAGACAAATGAGTCGAGTAGGAAGCGCTTGCTGCTTGATGCCGGTGTGCGGTCATGTACATTTTCCGGTGGCGACTCGTCGTCCATGAACATGAGTTGGGATGGTCTACTCGGTGTAAAGTTCGCGTTCGCTTCTATTGTTGCAAGAGCGGTTCGTGAAGGCTTGGAAGCAGTTGACGACAAGTCGTCGAATAGACTCAGGATATGGCCATCTTTCTGTGGTGTTGGTCCGAGGTGCATACGTATAGCAGCAGGAGTGGGTTCCAGTTCTACATGCTCTTCTTTTGCTGGCACACTCGGTATCAAGAATTGTGAACTGCGCTTCTGTGGTGTTGCTGTTGGAGCGGCGGCCTTCCTGGGTGTTGCATGGAGTGTCTTTGTAGGTTTGGCGTGTTGCGACTCGGACTGCTTTGCCGGCGGCCTTCGTAGTCTGTCATACTCCTTGTATTGTGCAGCTGTTACAAGTCATCAGCATCAACATATACCCTCGAGGTCTCGTGCCCGCATACCAATTTCGACATTGTTCTTGATGTCCTCACGACTCGGTCTCTTCCCGCCGTGTTGTATCGAGAACTGCTTCTCCCATGTCTTCAACTCTGCACGAAGAGTTGCTATCCGCTCTTCTGACATGACTCGACATGTGATTGTGTTGTATAACTTGCACTTTTGCAACAAAGGTGAGGCTCAAAGAATCTCAGGAGTCTCGCGACTCGGACGCGCCTGCTTCGTGATTTGGCGACGCTTGGGATGACGTGCATCAATTTCGGGAAGCCGCTCCCTTGACGCGCTTCTACTTTTCTACCAACAACAACTCACGACAGCATTTATTGGTAACTACTAGATATTCCTGCCGAGACGTGCTAGCCTTGGTCATACTTGATGATTAGTTTGCCCATCTTTGGCACTTTAGACTTATCACGAGATTCATAAGCGATCGCGCAATTCAGCCCGAAGCTTGCAAAGCACGAGTGCGCTCCAATTCCGAAGGGCTTGTGTAAGCCGAGTTCGCCATTACTTCTAATAACGTATATGTTCTCCTTGTATACAACGAATTGATTTTCCTTTCTGTTTGTATCTTTTTTTCTATCGTGACTGCTTTGCCCAAATTTCCCTGCTTCCCTTCGTCTTCCATCAAATATCCCACTACCATGTCAGACCCATCAATCTATACCTACCCTTCTCCTCTTGAAGGATATAAGAATCTGCCTCGACTGTCAGAGTATGTTCAACAATATAACCGTCTTTGTGTATCTGGCACTAAACAACCTCACAGCGAGAAAAATGCAGATGGCAAATCGTACGTAAACCCGCCAGCATCCAAGCCCAGCCCAGCCTACGACTCCTTCACCTCCCCCATCACAAACGACGAACGCGGCGGCTTCGACGTCCACATCTACTTCCAACAAAACATCGACACAGAAGTGACCTTTGCGACCGAACTATGGGAACGTATCCGACGAGAATGTGTGTCTACCCCTTCCCCTTCCATAGCAAACCTTGCGCACACCAACTGACACCCAAAACAGTCCCAGAACTTCGCATCTACAGAATATGGGATAAACCAATCGGACCCCACCCCATCGCCATGTTCGAAGTCAATCTATTTACGCCAGCACAATTCGGTGCGTTTATCCCTTGGTTGGTGATAAACCGTGGTCCCTTGTCTGCTCTGTTGCATCCAAACACCGGCGATGATATCCGCGATCACACTCAACGAGCCACTTGGCTAGGACAACCGTTCCCCCTACAAGTGGGTCTGCTCAGACGAATGCTAGAAAACAAAGCCCAAGAGGCTGGGCAAAAGGATTAAAAGATATATCTAGGACTGTACAGTTGCGTAAGAAATGCAAAAAGGCTGCTTTTGCTCCAACTTTGAAAGGATTTTTTGTGTGCTTCCTGCCAACTTAGAAGATTATACCGGGAGCGGAGAAGCCGTTCCAACCTATTTGCTGTTGTTGGCCTTGGACAAAGTTTGGATCAAAATGGCCGTATGCTGGCTCTCCTGAGACGTCATCAAGGCCTTCATAACTGTCCATCATGCTCTCGTTGTTGTTGGTTGCGAAATCGCCCACAGCATGCAAGTCCAGCCATGAAAATGTGAAGGCGTTGTTGTAAGGTACCTGCGCCGTTTGCTCGATATTCATGTGATTTTGCTGCTCGGTTTGCGCGGGAACCTGGGCATTTTGTGCTGTTGCTTGATATGGCTGTTCATTTCCATTCATGTGTGTAGCAGGAGCTTGTGGTGGAGGCTTTCGCCATAGCAATCGTAGCATTCTGCTGTAGCGGTCTCCGACATCATTTTGACAGGAACTTGCTTTCTGTAGTCGATCGACAGCTTCTCCGACGGTTCTCTTCACGTTGCCACCGTCGCCGCCTAGTACTCCTGTTGATCTTGCCTTGTATAGGAAGACAGCCGAGTAGATCACGTAGAGGTAGTATCGCAGCGGCATGTATCTAAACTCTGTCGCGGGATCCAGTAATGTGTTCGAAATTGTTAGCAGCTTCTTTGCAGAGTCGATTGAGTCGTAGATGAATCGTGCATCCGGTGTCGCGGCAATGAAATCGGTGAATGTTGCTTGTCCGTTTGGACGCTGGGGACCGTGCGAATTCTGCTGATCGCTATAATCTTGCGCCATGCGGGTGAGGGTTGCTTGGTATGCAAAGGCATTGACGTAGAGTCGGAGGTACTCGAAAGATATGATGAGAGCTGCTTTGATGACCGATGTACCTGGTCGGAATATGTTAGTCTTGCAAAGTCGAAACGATTTGGTCATTGCTTACATGGCAATTTGCCCCATCGATCATACCAAGCACTCATGGCCTCGCGGAAGTCATCCTATTGGAAGTCAGTGATTGCCATACGACTCCGCGCCTGATTTGTTCTTACAATATATTTGACATACTCTCCACCAAAGTTCAGCTGTGCGCTCCTGTTTTTGGAGGAGTATAGCACATCGTGAGCGTTGCTGAAGAGTTGTGTCAATTCCAGATGTGCTTCGCAAAGAGCTGCAAAGTTGTCCATCGGGTTGCCCGGATATTTGATGTCTTGAAAGTCCCTTGACGAGAATTTGATCATGGCAGGCCCTCTGCTCCAGAATGCCTTTCCGACGCGAACAGATATATGGCGGTCGCTCATATAACAGCCCACCCAAGCGAGTCGTTTTCGAATATAATCTGGTGCGCTGGGGTCCGACTCGTTCACAAACCCTGTGCGGTCTATGCCAAGAAGATAGCCCATTCTGATAGCCATACCTGAAAGCATCCATGCCGTCTGCTCTTCTTCTCCTCGACCTACCGCGGTCATGGATTGTGGTGGTCTTGGCACCCACTCGGCAAGGACTAATAACGCCTCTACAGCTCCCAGAGTGGCAATACCGCCATACATGAGTTCGGCGATGAGCTGTTGCATGTGTGTCGAGCAAGCTTCATGGGTGTCCCACCACGACGGCTCGTCCTTGGAGGCGATTGTACACACAGCCGCTAATAGATAAGGCTCATGTACTGAATTGGCCGCCAGGTTTTCAGCCTCTAGCATGAAAGGCGGCACAACCGAGTAGAAGTGGTGATACTTCATTTTGTAGCTGTCAAACCGTAAGTATCGAGCCCTCCGTTGTCATGTATCAGGACGTACCGTTCTATGAGTGCATGCATCATTCCTAATGACACATGACCTTTCTGATAAGGTGGAAATTGTATTTGCATGGCGGCAGGTGAAGGATGATTAGAAGATGGTGTCGCGTCTTGTACATGCTGGTCTGCACCACTCTGATGTGGAGACCTCGCATATATCGAACCGTGAGTCGATGGTGTTTGCGCCACCCCCTCGTTACGACCAGCAACATTGGCTAGAAACTCCAGAGCGTCGGATGGATTTTGCAAATTGGTTGATACAATGCTTTCGTCGACAGTCATTTTGGTACTCGGATGAGACGTGGGTGGTTCTGCAGCAGATGCCGGTGTGCTTCGTGATCCTGGTGTATATTGCGGCCAAGATGGAAGACGTCTGTGATATCCGTCATCCCTTTCTTCGCGTGTACTGTCTTGCTGTACAGGCGGGACCGAGGACTGTCCAGTATCCTCACTGGAAGATGCATTGTGTGAGGCCTCATTCTCTGGCTGCTCGGAACCTGTGGTGTTGCGTTTGATCCTTCTGCCTCCACGATGTGAAGGCCCGAGAACACACTCATGATTCTCTCGGATGCACCGTTCACAAGGCGGTTTACCTGGTTCGCCACTGCCATATCTATAGACGCAGTCAGGATCGGGTTCCAGTCAGGTTTCAAGACAGCAAGAACAATAATTGAGGCAAGCCAGTGGCTTGAACTCTGATGTTCTCGTCGGATAACCATTGCAATCGAATTGGAAGGAGGAGAGGAAGAGATGACCTACAAATCGCAGCGGCTTTTTCGTTGTCGGCAATGTAGACAGGCTCTATAGGTTCGCTTTTCCCTTTCAGGTACCCTGGCGCGTCGGATGGGTGGCAGCATGAAAGCATGATCACCTTGGAAAGGCAGTCCGGGGATTTCGCGTGAGTCGCGCGGATCATGCGCCATGATGAAGAACAAAGGCGACGACAGGAGTATCGATCGGACTATTCCAGTATAAAGTGGGATGGAACAGAATCCAGCATATCAAGCTTTTCACTCCAATCCAAAGCCAATGACAATGATGATATTGACAGAGTTGAAGATGTAGAAGAAACGCGAGGTCGGTCTTTCACCCGTCCCATGCACCTGGAACCCTAAAGCTGGCTACCGTTGAGAGCTGGGCATTTCACTTTCTTGGCCTACTCTACTTCTGGATAAGCAATTTGGAAGACAGCAGATCGTGTATCTTTCAAGATGCAGAAAACAAGAGGTGATTTCCACGATCTGGCGCAAAGCACTGTGATTTGGTGTCTGTTAATTACCTGGAGGAAGCTTCCCTGCTCAAGAGCTCCATCTATGCTTCGAGTCGGCCCGAGATTGTTCAGATGTCTTTACCTTGGTCACTATGATAGCTACATGGTTCTGTTCCGGCAACAAATAATGCCAGGTATTCGTCTCAAGTTTCAAGAATTACTTGATGTGGTTCACAACCTTGAATATATACAAGGCTGCAAGCTAGAAGTTTTCGCCCTTTGGTTCTACGTCTGCCTCGGGTGGTCCAAGCGTCCAAATAGTCCATCCCGATCGCATGTTCAACTTTCTTTCTTAACAAGCAACTTACTTTCCACACATCAACTGTTCAGCAATGTCCGGTCGCAAGGACTTTCTGAGCCAGCCGGCGCCTGAGAACTATGTGGCCGGCTTGGGTAGAGGTGCGACAGGTTTCACAACGCGCTCAGATCTCGGTATGTACTCACAACATAGGCATCTTCTGTGCAGCAATCTAATATCCTGCGCAGGTCCCGCCAGGGAAGGACTCAGCGATGAGCAGATGAAGGAGATTCTGGCCAAGCGTGCCGCCCAACTTGGAAACGCGCCGCCCACAGCGTATGGAGTGCCTGGAAAGAAAGAAGATGACGACGATGACGACGAGCGCTTCCAAGACCCCGACAACGAGACAGGCCTATTCGCAGGCGCCAACTACGATCGTGAAGATGACGAGGCCGACAAAATCTACGCCGAGGTCGACGCAAAGATGGACAAGAGACGGAGGGCGAGGCGCGAAGAGCGCGAGCGCAAAGAAAGAGAAGAATATGAGCGCAACAACCCGAAGATCCAACAGCAATTTGCAGACTTGAAGAGAGAGCTTGGAGGTCTCACCGACGAAGACTGGCAGAACATCCCCGAGGTTGGAGATTTGACGGGCAAGAATCGAAGGGCAAAGCAGAACCTGCGCGAGAGATTCTATGCCGTTCCAGACAGTGTCTTGGCTGGCGCAAGAGATTCAACACAGTTTGACACAACCGTCAACGATGATGGAGCTCAGCCTAGTGCTGCCGCAGACAATCTGGAAGGCGCAATGACAAACTTCGCCAACATCGGAGCTGCGAGAGACAAGGTCTTGCAAGTCCGTCTGGATCAAGCCGCGCAAGGCGATGTCGCTTCCGGAACCGCAACGAGTATCGATCCGAGAGGCTACTTGACATCTCTGACAAAGTCTGAAGTCAAGGCCAGCGAAATCCCGGTTGCTGATGTCGCAAGAGCGCGTGAGCTGCTCAGATCTGTCATCAACACGAACAAGAAGCACGGTCCTGGCTGGATCGCCGCAGCACGCTTGGAAGAATTCGCTGGAAAGATTGTCGCTGCACGAAACCTGCTGGCTCAAGCAGTAGAGTTCTGTCCGAAGTCCGAGGATGTCTGGCTAGAATCTATGCGCCTGAACGAGAACCACAACGCCAAAATCATTGCTAAGGAAGCTCTCAAATACAATGACCGCTCAGTGCGACTCTGGGTGGAAGCAATGAAGCTAGAAACCATCATGTCTAACAAGAAGCGTGTATTGAGACAAGCTCTCGATCACGTCCCGCAATCCGTCGCAATCTGGAAAGAAGCCGTCAATCTCGAGGAGGATCCAGCCGATGCCCGACTTCTGCTCGCAAAGGCCACCGAATTAATTCCATTGTCCGTGGACCTGTGGCTTGCTCTCGCTCGATTGGAAAGTCCCGAAAATGCGCAAGTCGTCCTGAACAAAGCGAGAAAGGCCGTTCCGACTTCTTGGGAAATCTGGGTGGCCGCTGCTCGACTACAAGAGCAGATTGGCGCTGAGCAGATGGTTGGAAAGATTATGGATCGTGCTGTAAAGTCTTTAGCACGCGAGTCAGCCATGCTGGAGCGCGAGAGATGGATTGAAGTTGCCGAGAATTGCGAAGAAGAAGGTGCAAATCTTACCTGCAAAGCAATCGTGGAGCATACGCTCGGCTGGGGACTTGACGAGGACGACGATCGCAGAAAGATCTGGATGGACGACGCAAAATCTTCCATGGTCAGAGGTCGTTATCAAACGGCACGTTCCATCTACGCTTACGCAATCCGGGTGTTCCCTAACAGCAGCATCATCTGGTTGGCCGCAGGCGATATGGAACGTAACCACGGTTCAAGAGAGTCTCTCGTATCTTTGCTGGAGAAGGCAGTTGAAGCAGTACCTACTAACGAAGTGCTGTGGATGCAGCTCGCCAGGGAAAGATGGAACGCAGGAGACATCAACGAGGCTCGTAAAGTCTTGGGTAAAGCCTTCCAACAGCAGCCCGGAAACGAAGATATCTGGCTGGCAGCTGTCAAGCTTGAAGCAGATAACGGAGAAGTTGACCAAGCGCGCGACCTTCTAAGAACGGCACGACAAGAGGCAGGTACTGACAGAGTCTGGATCAAGAGTGTTGCTTTCGAGAGACAGCAAGGTGATAGAGAAGCTGCTCTTGATCTTGTCAACCAAGGTCTTCAGCTTTATCCCAAAGCCGCCAAGCTCTGGATGCAAAAAGGACAAATCTATGATAGCAAAGGCATGCTCCCGCAAGCGCGTGAAGCCTTCAATACCGGAACAAGAGCTTGTCCGCAGAGTGTGCCATTGTGGCTACTCGCGACTCGCACTGAAGAGAAGGCAGGTGTCCTTGTCAAAGCACGCAGTATTCTTGACCGAGCACGTCTTGCGGTACCAAAAAACCCCGAGCTTTGGACAGAGTCTGTTCGACTCGAGAGACGCGCAGGAAACACTGCCGCAGCCAACCAAAAGATGGCACAAGCTCTACAAGAATGCCCAACCAGCGGCTTACTATGGAGTGAGAGAATCTGGCATCTTGAAGCTCGCACACAACGCAAACCCCGTACACTGGAGGCGATCAAGAAGAACGACAGTGATCCTATCTTGTACGTGACGGCTGCGCGTGTCTTCTGGGGCGAGCGAAAATTGGACAAGGCAGTGACTTGGTTTGAAAAGGCGATTGTCGCTGATCCGGATGTTGGTGACTCATGGGCCTACTACTTGAAGTTCTTGAGACAGCACGGCACAGAAGAGAAGCAAGAGGAGACTATCAACAAGTGTGTACTCAGTGAGCCCAAGCACGGAGAAGTCTGGCAGAGTATCGCAAAGGCACCCGAAAACTCCAAATTGGGTGTTGAGGAGATCCTCAAACTCGTTGCTAGCAAGCTGGACTAGAAAGAAAGTTGTGATGCAAGTCACTTGTAGAGTAGGTAGGTTAATATCACGAATAAAATGAACAAAATGAGGCTCTATAACGAAAGCCGACGACAAGCGCAAAAATGTTGTTGAATGGCTGGTGATCGATCGTTGCCGAAAGCTGAGCTCGCCATGCCGGAGGTGGATTTTTGTGATGTCATCGTGGAGACTCTGGAGAGCTCGTCATTGTTTTCGTGTTCTACCTTCACAAACGTCTCTTTCCTTCTTTCTCTTCCATCTCTCAATTGTAATTGACTCCTCTTCTCTCGGTAAGTTATCTCTTTCAGTTACATCTCACTCTTCCTCCTGTCGACCCAACACTCGACATCATGTCCTTGATTGCCCCTCTTCGCCGCCAGCTACCCCGCGCCCTCCAAAGAGCACCCCTGCTCACCTCGATTCGTGCCAGCAGAACACTTCAATCACACTACCAACCTTTCTCAACCTCAACCGCAAAGATGTCTTTCAGCAACACAGATACCGGCAGCAAGCCCGCCGACCCCTACACTGCCAAGAACCTTGAGCAGCCCGACACCCTCAAGGAGAAGGTCGGAGATCTCATCACCTTTGTCGACAAGTCCAAGTACTGCATGATGACCACTCGCATTGCCAGCAGTGGACTCCTCGTCTCGCGCTGCATGGCCCTCGCCGCCAAGGAGGGCAACGGTATCGACCTCATCTTCCACGCCAACAGCGAGTCTGGCAAGACCGATGACCTCGAGTCTGACAACGACATCAACCTGGCCTTCCTTCAGCCCTCCGGCGAGTGGGCTTCCATCTCCGGTATTGCCTCCATTGAGACCGACCGCGAGAAGGTCCGCAAGTACTACTCCCCCGGCCTCAAGGCCTGGTTGGGTGACCTCGGTGACGGCAAGCACGACGGTGGCCCTGAGGACCCCAGAATCATCCTCATCAAGGTCAAGGCCAAGACTGCTCAGTACGCCATCACCAGATCTGCTACTGGCGCTCTCGGCAACTTTGTCGAGTTCGCCAAGGGTGTTGCCACTGGTGAGACCGCCCAGGTCAACAAGCTCAGATACCTCGACGAGTCTGAGCTCCAGCAATGTAAGTTGAATGCAGGCGATTATATGCTCGAAACATGCTGACAATCACGAAGGGCGCACCTCCAGTCAATAGGCTAATGACTTATGTAAATCAAGCCTGAGAAGTGGCCAAAGAGAGCCAGCATCAGCTACGATATAGCATGACCACAAAGTAATGAAATAAGCATGTTCAAACTTTCAAAACAAGCAACTCTATTGTGATTTTCCGATTTTCAATGTCAATCTGGACCTAACCATCGGCAAGTCTTGCTGAGCTTTGTGCTTCATGACTTGTGTCGGACAGATTCGCTTGTCAGGGGGATGACCCTGCTCCGATGTACAGCAGCAATTATTCCACGACACAATGGCTCGACTTATCTGAAACTTGTTCTACAGAACAAAAGAATGTTTGAGACTTGATCGGCGGCGTTCGGATGGTACAATCAGGCGCACCAGGGGCGTAGGTGGCTTCGATGATCTTGTCATGAATTCTTTGACCACGCGACCTCGAATGTCCACAGCAGCAAGAGCATTTTCCCCCTTGGATGAATCATCTTCGCCCTATTTCGTACAAGATACACGAGCCAAGGTCTAAGCACGAATCGCCGCCTGGCGCAATTCAGCGAAGCGGATCGGTCTGGAAATCTGATACATGCAGTGTTGTGGTCGTTGCTGACTCCTTGAGCTTGCCCTGTTCACATGTCACTGCGCTATTTCCCCGCTGTGGAGGCGTCTGGTCTAAGGATCTGGGGCGCTTTAGGGATCATCGGCATCAAAAACTTTCTTGCGGAGACGCCGAACCATCCAAGCCGACTTGATCACCAAGAATATGGAACTCAACACTATTCTGAGGCCGAATGTCACTGCTTGATTCAGGATACGAGCCGCGGGATAACCATAACAACAGTCCGCGGACAGAATAGGAGATGAGTGCCACCGGCTTTCCCGTCTTGAGGCCGAAAAGCTTTCGAGACAAACCGGCCAATGTTGCCGAAAGTGTGTTCGAGACAGCCTAAACAAATTCTCCGCACGCCGCACGGAATGCTGATGTGCGTTGTCCTAGCTATCCCGTAGCTTCGTATCTTTGGTCTGGCAAAATTTTCCAGATGCGCTCGTCGAAATAGGTCTTCAAGCAAGTACAGTAGGTGGATTGATATGACTGGAAAAGCGAACTCAAGTCAAGCAACAAGCCATGCTCTCAATGAACCCCACTCTGGGCAGCTTATCCTCTCAAAGCCCCTCTCGGCGACGGTTCTTGAAGGTGCTTGTTGACAGTCACCCTTGGCCCTTGTCGCCAAGGAGGAAATCCACTCCCTCTGCAGAATGCAACCATAGATTGGTAGGCGGTCGAGATCCACATTGTACCAGGCCTCGTGACTCGATAACATGTGAGATTGGGGTGGGTACCCTTGCTAGTAACCTCTAGAAGCGGTAAAAGGATCATCGCTCTCCTGTCGGGCAGTTGGCTCAATCCTTCTAACGCTTGGAGTTCTGCGTATTTATTCGTGCAGTTCCCTCCCTCTCCACACCTCTCCACCTTTCTCCAGACGCTTCTCCATCAAAACCCCAGGCTTGACAGATCATTTCCCTACTCGAGGGACAATCAGCCAAGATGACTGAAAAGACAACATTCTCCGACGTCGACTATACTTCTCACAAGGAGAACACAAAAGAGACGACGATTCATGATGAAGCTCCTCAGCGTCAGGCTTCGGTCGCTCTCAACATTGTTGACAACCCTTTGAGAGTATGTAAATTCCGCATTCCTTGACTTATACTGCAAATTTGATACTGACGACAGCAAAAGCGTACCAACAAGGAACAAACCGTTCTCGATGCCCGAACATTCGCTGAATCGCATGGCATGGCCGACGATGCCGCCCTGTTTGGCAGAGCCGCTCTCGTCGCGCGTGACCCCGAACGATTCGAGACGATTCCCGACCTTACTGAGGAAGAGCGTGCAGCCCTCATTTACGAAAGAGATCACAAATGGCATGGACCTAAGATGCTATGGTATTCGATCGGTCTCTGTGCCATCGGTGCTGCCACACAAGGTTGGGATCAGACTGGCTCGAACGGAGCCAACTTGTCCTTCCCCGAAGAATTCGGTATCGGCACTAAATCTGCTTACGACACATGGATCGTTGGTCTGGTCAACTCCATTATTTTCCTCACGGCTGGCCTCATGTGAGTATTAATAGTTCTCTATGCTTGGCCTTGGATTAACGTGTCGCAGTGGCGCTTTCATCGTCGATCCATTGAACAAATACCTCGGCCGTAGAGGTGAAATTTTCCTCACTGCTGCCTGTCTTACTGCCACTCCGATTGGCTCGGGTTTCGCTCAATCATGGCATGGTCTCTTCGTCGCACGTTTCGTCATGGGTATTGGTATCGGCGCAAAAAACGCGACCGTCCCTATCTACTCGGCTGAGATGGCCCCCGCTCGCATTCGTGGTGCCCTTGTCATGTTCTGGCAGCTTTGGGTCGTTATTGGTAAGAAATTCTGCTAGCTCGAATTCTCTGGGAGACCATGCTGATTCAATTTGCTAGGTATCTTCTGTGGCTTCTGCGCAAACGTTATCGTCAAAGATGTTCCTCGCATTGCATGGCGTCTTCAGCTTGGATCGGCCTTCATTCCATCCTTCATCCTTATGTGCGGCATTTTCTTCTGCCCCGAATCGCCTCGTTGGTTGATGAAGCACGGAAAAATCGCTCAAGGTTTCAAGTCTATGGCTGCTTTGCGTGCGCATCCCATCATTGGCGCAAGAGACTACTACTATTCGTATGTCATCTACGAGGAGGAGCTCAAGGTTGCCAGTGGATCAACCTACTTCACCCGTTTGAGAGACTGCTTCACTGTACCTCGTATCAGAAGAGCCAACTATGGTGCATCGACTGTTATGATTGCCCAGCAAATGTGCGGTATCAACAGTAAGTGATCCGATGGCTATGTTTATGCACATTCCTAACATTTCACAGTCATCTCTTTCTACAGTTCAACCATCTTCACAAACGCTGGCTATAGCAACGACCAGGCTTTGTTCGCATCTCTTGGTTATGGTGCCATTCAAGTCGTCTTCACCATTCCTACGTTGTTTTTGATCGATACGAAGGGCCGAAGAACATTGACCTTGATTGTGAGTTGCCTCTCAAATGATATAACGAAAGCATGCTAACTTTTCCCCTCTAGACTTTTCCACTTATGTGTATCTTCCTGCTGGCTGCAGGTCTATCGCTTCTGCAACCCGAATCCGCCAGTTCTGCCTCCAAAGTCGGACCTGTCATCTTATTCGTCTACCTCTTCACGATCGCTTACTCCTTGGGAGAAGGCCCAGTCGCGTTCCAGTACTCTGCTGAGGTCTTCCCTACCATCCAGCGTGAGCAAGGAATGGCATGGGCAGTCTGTATCAACAACACTTTCGGTGAGCCTTGACAACGTCAGAAAATCTCGTCCCTCAGCTAACATGAACTCAGCTGGTATCCTCAGTCTGACATATCCTCGTATGGAAAGCGTAATGACCGCAACTGGTGCTTTCGGCTTCTATGCCGCACTGAACCTGATTGCATGGTTCATGATCTTCGCCTTTGTCCGCGAAACCAAACAGCTCACTCTGGAGGAAATCGATCAAGTCTTTTCGGTCCCTACCAAGACCTTCCTCAACTACGAGTTGACCACCTGGTTGCCTTACTTCGTCAAGCGCCACCTCCTGTTCAAGAAGAATACCCCCAAGCCCCCACCCATTATCGAGAAGGCTAGCTGGCACGACCAAGACGTGACTCCCACAGCTTAAACAACACAACTCCACATATTCCGACACACCGACTAGATACCTGGAGAGTGCATAGGAGTTGGCTATACGATATTCACGAATGGTGTAGGAGAGGAGAGATACCCTTAGAGGACGCGATGCGGACGAACAATCCGCAAGTATGGTAGCGTCATAATACTGTCGGTGGATGCACATGTTTTTTCCTTACATCGACGATTATCGTCAATCTCTCACTGTCTAATCTATACCCTCTTTTTCCTCTGCAACTGAGAGCCAACACACACATCTCAATTCATGATGCACGTCCAGCTATACTTTCGACCCCCATGGTGACCTCGGCAATGCCTCAACTCATTGCTTGATATTCCGATCCACCAACGGCTCCTCCAAGATCCTGAATCTGGCCAACCAGGTTCAATCCTTACAAGCTAAGGTGATGTGGTGTAGTGGTAGCATGTGTCGTTGTGGAGGTTAAAGTCCAGCAACGCCGACCCGACGGCGGTTCGATTCCGCCCATTGCCAGGATCATATATCTTTTTGTCCTTTTGTAACCAGTTCCCATCTTCCGAGTGTCTTTTGTTTTTGTTGGGCGCGCAAAATGTTGGCAGAGAGAAAGAAAATTTTGATGCGGGACTTGAGGGTGGCTTGTGCGTGAGTGGGGGTGCGGGGCTTTTATTTGGAAGGAAGAGAAAAGAATAATTGGGGTAGGGGGAGGTGGACGTCGGGTCGTGGGTTGGAGGTTGGTTGCGTTGTGCTTTTCTGATGATTCATCCCCTAAGGAAGGGTTTCCTGGCTTCGATTCAACGAGTCTTAGAGAAATGTCCGTCCGATCACAGACTGGTGGACAGACAGCATGATGTCCATGGCTGGATCTGGTTGACATAAGAGGGTGTGACTCTTATTTTCTGGTCCCTCGACTCGACTATTCTTCTCTCGGCATGAAAATTCATGGCAGATCGCAAGAATCATCCTACAATAGACGCGTCCTTGATGACAGACAGGTTTGGGACCAGCGATAGGTCTTCATGATGATCAAATCTGCTTGGTGTAACTGACTGTTGCCTCACGAACAACCGATGCTGGAATCAACAATGACAGCTATGATCACGACGATGATGCCATCGCGAGAAAAGTCACTACGAGGCGACGTCTTCACCACTTCCTCGTCCTCGTCGGCCCCACGAAGGATGTCCCTAGCCACTTGAAGCAGCCATGATCGGGAAACTTCTATACTTCTTCCCGCAGTTTCGAAGTAGATTTGCGATCCTGCTATTGACACGAAGTCTGTTCTACACGGAATCAGATCTGACCTAAAACATCGAACCAACATTCCAAGGTATGAGTAAGGAATAGTAGAAATATGCATGAGAGAGACTAGATACGCAAGTAAGCAGATCAGGTGGTAGAGAATGTGGATGAGGAAGTCATGAGTTACAGGCAGCTAAAAGTTCTCGACGTGTCTATGTCGCAATAGCTAACGTAGGCTAAAGGGCGTACTGCGTCTGCAGGTATTACGATCTGGTCTCGGCGCTACCGACTCTACCTTTGGCACAATACCTCGTACTACGATATACTAGACATAGGAACTAAACCACAACACAATCAATTACGACTTCCCACACGAGTTGACACGAGCGTTTTTCCATGACTGCCATGAAGCCATGTGGCTAGTTGCCTATTCAGTCAGACACCATTCATGGGCGAAAAGTCAATTAACTCAAACCACCTCTCCCAGTCATAATCTCCAGGACAATTCAACAGCAAAGATGAGTCGCCAAATGGTTACCAGAATAACTCAAGATATTTTGGAGGAGAGCACTTTGCGTCCTTTTCACACAGGAAAACCCCCAAAATTTCCGGATATTGAGGAATACTCTATTTTTCTGTCGACCACTTCAACTTCGACAACCAACATCGAAGTAGCTTTTCCTGATCGCAAGATGGACAAAAAATCAGAGGCTTGGATTTCCGGCGACCGTGTTGCTGCTTTCGACAGCTTCGACTCTGATACTACCATGGACAACGATACTACAGAAAATACATCCGACTCGATGGTACAAGATGTTGATATTACCGCCATGGCTGCAGACTCAGACTCCATCACCACCATGGCCAACTCTATCACAGACAACGACACCACAGACGACCTGTCCGACTCAACAGACGACTTCTCAACAACAACCCACAGCATCTCCATAACCTGCTGCCCGTCCCCTTCGTCCTCTGATTCAACATCCTCTGATTCAACAACAGGCTCTACAACCTCAACACCCCATTGCATTTTAAAACCTACCCACTTCTCCTCTACCTCCCCATTGATCAGAAGAAACTTGAATATCTTCCCTAGACCGGAATGGGCGGGGGTGAAACTGGCACGACAGAAATCAGATCAAGAACAGAGGGTTTTTGCGAAGAAGCAGTGTGTAAGATTTTGTGGCGACCAAGAGGAGGAAGAAGAAGACGAGGAAGAGGGACATTTAGAGGAGGATAAATTCAAGGAAGAAGGTAAAGGAGAGGAGAGGTTTTGGGGGCTTGAGCCACAGAGGAGGAATCAGGATAGGAGGGAGGGAGGAACGTTCATGGAGAGCTTTTGGAGAATTGGTGATGAGAATATTCGTGGCATCGAGGCGTGATCAGGGAATTTTGAAGCATAAAGAAAGGAAGGGTTGGTGTGGTATCAGAGCACGATCAAGAAGTTGAATTCAGCATGAGGAAGCGAGACTTTATATGGACGAGGAGGAAGAAAGGATATACGAGAGGGGTGAGAGACTCACATCGCAGATATACTAGATCTTACATCGGATGCATCAAGATGAATTTGACCACATTTTCCTGTGTTGACGGAGTGTTGTTAGAGCTCCGCGTTCTCCATCGCATACCTTTGGGATCTTGATGTGGTATTTCTGATATCATCGGGCCATAGTGTTGTTTGACTAACAGTCATGCTGTAACAAGGACAACCGCATAGCCTCCTGCCTCTTTCGTGAAAGCAAGCAGACACCCAACACGCTGCTCATGATGTGGTGAAACTAGTTGTATACAATGGCATGTAGACACCAAAAAAAAGGCCGAGTAAATAAAGGAGGTATCAAGCAATTTTTGTGTACGCAGAACCCTTTCTGCAATAATTCCCGAAACCCCCTTCCCAAAGAAACAAAGAGACCAAAGAATGAACAACCCATTGTAAGAAGAACCATGATCCGCTAATGGTGGAAAAAAGACAAAAAGTTGACAAAAACAGAGAGATATTTCAATCAAGCCTTGAATCTGCCTTCAAAGCCCGGTCTTGCCTTCTTTTTGGCACCACCACTGCTGCTGCCCTTTTTGCCGCCCTTCTTGGAGCCCTTTTCGTCGCGTCTCTTGTTTAGGTTCTCGGTTCTCTTCTTGTCTTTCATTTCCTTGCCCTTCTTGACGTTGTCGAGGCGTTCGTTCCATTGTGTGGCGCTCTTGGTCTTTTGGTCTGTCTTGCGCTTCAAGGTCTTTTTGAGGAGGGATTGGTCGTCCTTGACGCGTTCGCCGTGGGCGCGCTTCTTTGCGTTGAGCCACATGTCCTTCTCTTCAATCTCCTTGCGCTTCTCCTCGTCCATGCCGGCGAGTCGCTGGGCCTTCTTCTCGGCTGCGGCCAAGGCGGTCTTGACGTCTGAGGGACCCTTCTTCTTCTTGTGAGCGGCAATGGAACCAAGGGTGGGATCGGTCTCCTCGTCATCGAATGCGACACGGCCGAAGGAGAAGTTGTTCTCGTCTACAGCGCGCGGTGAGAAGATGTCGGGTGTGGCGAGCGGACTGCCGCTACCGCGCAGGCGCTCGTTGTTCAGACGCTCCTCCTCCTCCTTTGCCTTCAGACGCAACTCCTTCTTGTGCTGCTTACGGGCTTCCTCCTTCTTGCGACGCGACTCGAGCAACTCCTGTCTATTGCGAGGGGCGGCACCGTTAGGACCGTCGGCCTTGCGCTGAGCACGGAGTGCCTCGATACGGGCCTTCAGACGAGCTTGCAGTTCCTCTGCGTTGACCTCTGGCAGCTTAAGGGCGAGTGCCTTCTTAGGCTTTGTAGTGGTGGTTGCATCTCCTTCGGTAGGATTCGAGGCGGGGACTATTGAAGATGAGGAGGATGTGACAGACTGGTTTGCGGAGTTGTCGAATACAGAAGCTTGCTCGGGGCTTGCTGGGGTGGAGGTTTCGTCGTTGTCGACTAGGCCAGAGAAGTCCATTGCGTCGTCGGCGGCTTCGTCGACAGATTCGTTGCCGGCGTCTTCCATTTCCTCATCGGCAGATTCTTCAGCGCCAGCAGCAGATTGAGGTTCCTGCTTGCGAGCAGCCTTTTTGGCGTCCAGCTTTGCCTTTTGCTTGTCGGCCTTTTCCTTCTTCAGACGGCGCTTCTCCTTTCTCTTGTCTGCCTGTGTCTTTTTGCTGCTTGATGTGGCGTCGGCATCATCGTCCTCGCTGTCGTCCTCTTCGTCAACCTTTTGCTTCTTGCTCGGTTGGTCTGCGTCGGCGGGCAAATCGATTTGTGCAGAAGAATCCTCGTCATCTTCGTCGATTCCTAGCTCTCGCTTTCTCTTGCGCTCGTTCTCATCCATGACGTCTTTTGCGGACTTCTGGTTTGCAGGGTCGAGTTTTGCGCGCTTAGCTTGGCGCTTTTGCTCTTTTGTCTGTTTCTTGCGCTGCCATTGGTCCTGCAGAAGGGAGTGTGAGCAGGAGGCATATCTTCTAGCAGCGGTCGCAGAGACGTACGCTGTTATCTTTTGAGTAGTATTCATTGGCGGGAATCAGGGAAAGAAGACCCTCAAATGCCTGAGCGTGGCTCTCAAGACGTGCCTGTAGGAGGTCAATTTTAAGACCAGAAAAAAAAGCAGAGCGATTCAGCATACCTCTAGATCATCAGCCATGGTGAAATTAGATCAAAAAATGAAGATAGGCGTGGCAAGATGGTTGATGCAAAAGAGTCGTCTTTTGTTCTTGACGCTGAACTTTTCGCCATAGTATCGCGGGCGATGGCTTGGCATGGCGGGTCTCTGAAACGGGCCATGACGATCCGGGGTATCGCTTAGCTTCATCTTTGCGCGAACTGGCCAGAGTGGGCAAGAGCAAGTCGCAACTTCTATAACCATCGCTGTCCATGGAAAACTTTGCTCTGGATGCAACTCACAAAGGCGGTCTCACCATCTCTCACTACCTCGACTGCTCTCCCAACGTCGTCAGCATCTTCAAAGAAGTCAACAAGCTGGTTCTTGTTGTCACGATAGGCTTGGTCTCCGTCTCTCTCCTCCGCACCTTCAGACCCTCACCTTCTCGCTCCTCATGATCGCCCGACTGTCGCCTGCCTCGCTGGCATGGCTACTCTTCAGTACCTCTGCCCAAGCTTCATATGTCATTGAGGGTCTGTCCTTCGGCCACAAGGGTGCTATCTCACCCAACGGACGCGCCGTTCCTGGTTGGCACCTTTCTGGAGAGAACCACACCCCTCAACTGCTCTCAGATCGCATCATCCTCACACCTCCGGCTCCCGGCGGTACAAGAGGTGCTATCTTCGCCGACAATCCCATCACCCAACCCGAATGGGTCGTCGAGACCGAGTTCCGTGCTTCGGGTCAAGAGCGTGGTAGTGGAAACTTGAACTTCTGGTTCGTTGATACTGGTCGTTCTGCTGTCGGTCAGAGCAGTATATATACAGTCAGCAAATTCGACGGTCTTGCTCTGGTCGTTGATCAATACGGTCCTCGTGGAGGCTCTATTCGTGGTTTCCTGAACGACGGCTCTGCCAACTTCAAGGACCACCACAACGTTGACAGTCTGGCCTTTGGTCATTGCGATTACGCATACCGCAATTTGGGTCGACCAAGCAAGTTGCGCATCGAGAACGGCGCTCACGGTCTCCGCGTTGACATCGACGGCACATCCTGCTTCCACAGCGAGAAGGTCAACCTTCCTCCGGGTTACTTCTTTGGTATCTCGGCTGCTGCTTCTGAGAACCCCGACTCGTTCGAGGTCTACAAGTTTTCTGCTTCTACCACAAACTCCATCAGCCGTGAGGAGCCTAATGTCGAGGCCAAACGTCAACATATTGAAAAGCTCGACAAGTTCCCCGGCGCCCCAGAGGCTCTCCCTGACGCCGATGCCAGTACTATCAAGGCTCAGGCTGATCAGTTCGCCGATCTTCACAACCGTCTGCAAGGCATGACTCACCAAATTGCAAACATGTTTGGCGAGTTTGAACGTCTTTCTCGCCAGATGAACGAGCGTCATGCCGAGTTGATGGCCAAGGTTGCCGGTACCAATGCTGGCGATTCGAGCGACAAGCCTCAGCAACCTACTGGAGAAGCTCTTTTGCCTCTCAGCCGTCGTGTTGAGAACATTGAGCGTATTGCGCTTGCCATTCAGCGTGACGTCGAAGGCAAGGACTACCGCGAGCACTTGACAAATTTGCAACAGTCCATCGAGGGCGTCCGTGGAGGTCTGACCGAACATCTCCCCGAAACCATCGCTCACAGTAAGTCACTTCTCAACCCTTCCTTCCGCAACAGTGATGCTAACATCTTCTTCCAGTGATCTCCACCGCCGCGCCCAAGATGGGTATGTTCATCTTCGTCGTCATCGCCTTCCAGGTCATGCTCGCCGGCGCCTACATAATCTACAAGAGACGCAGAGCAAACGCCCCCAAGAAGTACTTGTAGTGCTCTCTCAGTAAATCTTCTTGTATAGCCTCTTCTTTTTTGCAGAGTTTTCTTGTCTTTGTCGATGTATCAAGATTAGCGGTTCTTCTTGGTTCAAAGCGACCGTCTTGTAGTTTTGGAGCGGGGCTTTTTACATACCTAACATTTGTTGTATAGAGAGGAGACTTTCAAAGATATCAAACACGAAACTTTGTACACACACAAGCTGAGGATACAAGAGAAATTGCAACAAGAAAATAACTCTATCACACAAGGAGAAGGGATGTGCTGCCTTTTATGAGACAATGCCAAAAGATACTACTACGCTAGAGAAACCCCTAAAGCTTATGCAAGAGCAAAAAAAGAAGAGAATTGCAGCGAGTAGGATTCGAACCCACGATCTCCTTGCTTCGAGGAGGGTCAGGCACCTCAGAAGGTCGCAAGGCCGCATCCGTCAAATGCTTGTGTTTGCAAGACAATTGATTACAAAGGCGTCTTAAGACCACTAGACCATCGCTGCTTTTTTTTGATGGTTGGGGTGGATTTGGGGAGGTATTTGGAGGTTAAGATGGGAGGGAAGGAAGAAGGGCGTGGGAAGGACGGGGAGGTGGTGGGTGTGACTTCCATCTGGATAATCGCATTAGCATGATTCGCGACATCATCATGTGAACACCTATTTGAGACCCGACGCACTTTGTTTTCAGTCTGCTTCGGTCCTTCTGAGTACCTGAGGTGCGTTCTCCATTTCAGCATCATTCAGTCACCATTTATGCTCCAGATGGTTCACTAGGTATGCTTTCCCTGCCCGAAAACAGCTTTGCTATTTGCTTCCAAGCGTATCACCACTCCGTCCTAACCATGTCCCATCGCAGGCAAATGGTGTCACGACAAGTACACTAACCAGGCTCATCGGTCAGCCATTCATTGGGCGACTTCGAAACAATTGATGTATTACCAAATGGCCAGACAGATGTGCACCGAATGTGGAAGCGACAACGAAAGTGTTGTATCCGGCGGCCAAAACATTCACAGCTTGCCAACAACTAGGCGCCCCTCCGCAACAGTACCAGAATATGCAAGCCGGAAGGATGACTGACTTCCTTCATGCTGAGCACCTCAATTTCGGCGGCATTCTCGCGGGCATCAGTTGGGCCACCAGGCCCCACTGAAAGCGAACCCCTTGTTCGACATGTTGTCTGGTGCGGTTGTAGGAAACTGCAAGCTTGCATCTCGCCCCTTCCAGCGAAACCAGAAATCCTCGGCCACGCGGTATGACGGTCGTGGTATTCTGAGATCTTATCTGGCAGCAGCGATTGACTAGCCCGTTGCGAAGGCGTCTTCGGGTGTCATACAATGCGAATGGGATAGTGATGTAGATTTGTAGATGAGTCGAGGACAGGTCGATGCACTCTGCGCTCTCAATCAATCTGGGACAAGTTATTGCTGGGCAGGTCGATGACGGTGAAAAGTGCAAGGCACACATTCGTACTGCTTGAGTCAGTGAGAGGGAGGTTGATGGAGACAACGATGCAAGACTACAGGCAATACTGAACCCATCATTACGGTGCTCTCAACTGATGCCTATGCAACGCATGCAGCTACTCCAAGCACCGAATACTCTTCAAAATCTACATGTCAAAATGCGCAATGTTGTTGAGAACTCGGAGGGGGTCCAATGAGAGCCTGAAAGTCTACGAGATTGGTCGTGAACATCTCGCGCTCTCAGCGGGATCCTTTTAGTTCTCAATAACTTTGTGCATTTGATGGATGGTGATATCGAACGGACTGGTCTTGGAGAGAGCTAGAGTTGGCGTAGGCTGTATGAGAAAACAGATTAGCGTGATGTGCCAATCATTGCTAATGTGAACTGATGCAAAATGTGAACTGATGCAAAATGTGTTGCTCCAGCATGACCGACTTGTTTCTTTTGTGCTTTAATCAGAAAGCTTTCACTCGGCATGATTCCAGATTTCAACATGTGGGAAGAAGGATGAGCGATGTTGACGATCCACATTCTGTAATACAGCGGGCAGAAAGAGAAAAACGTGATATCAGAACATGTTCTCATTGGAAACGTAGAAGGTCTGTTGGGTATATAGAAGCTTTTGAACGAACAATTCAAGACACCTAAACAACGTGCTTGACCTATACAAGACATTAGCGCCTGAAGTCTAGAAAATCGAATCAAGAAAACAGGGCTATGAGCGTACCTCGAAGAAGCGCTTGAGCCACCAGACCTGGAAGATGCCCTCGCCGATCAAGACACCGAGCTGGAAGATGCTCCACCACTTGACTCTGGCGTTGGTGCTCTCGGCCGTGTTGCGGTGAGTGCGCTCACGAACGACAATGTAACCCTGCTCATCCTTGACCTGTGCCAACAGCTCTCCAAGAGTGCGCACTTCCTTCTCCAGAGGGTCTTGGGGAGCCTCGCTCTCGGGGACGTAGACGATGCCGTGGACGTTGAAGCTGACCTCCTTTGTGTTTGCCGACCAGTGTTCGTTGCTGAAGCAGTACAAGTAGCGGCCGTCCATTCCGGCGGTGAAGCTGTGGTCGCCGCTGCTGACGGAGCGCTCGTGGACTTGGTATGCGTTGGCGGGGTTTTGGATCTGTCATGACCCCTGTCAGCTTTTGTCGCGGTTATCTTCCTCAAGAAGTGAGTTGCGAGAAACTTACCCAGAAGTCGATGTCCAGGTTTCCACTGCCACCAAACTCGCGGTCGCCGACCTGGAAAGTGACGGTCATTCTGTCGTCCGAGTGCAGCTCCTCGTGGAAGCATTCGCGCGAGTGCGCCTTGAGCTGGATGTTGTGTGCCGAGCTGACGGCGAAGAGGCCGCAGAGGGCTGCATAGAGGAAGGCGAGGACGAGCATCTTTGCTGTCGATTGAGAGTTGCGAACACGCAAAGGAGCTTCGTGGATCGACAACAATAATTGTTTGGTCGAGATGTTGCTCCGCTGTCCCTTGAACATGGAGGTGCACGGTCCTCAACCTCTTGCTTGCAGCCCCCTATTCGAATCACGTTTCTGCAACTCTGTTGAACTCGTATCCAGATATGCTTTGGTACTTTATCTAAGTCTTCGAATAGCCAGTATCAATAAAATCAAGACCTATCTAGTAGACCGGTTGCTGGTCGCGTGCGTGACAATACATGTCTTCGGCGTACCTTCCTTTCTTCTTGAAGCTCGCTGCTGCTGCCAAGTTTTGTGGCCCAGGCTCGTTGAACCTCATTCCATATCCCTGTCACGTCTGCTCATGCTCTCGTCGTGTACAAGGTATGTCTTGTCTGGCCGCTTCGGTCATTCCAATGACCTAAAACCGAAGGTAGGATAGGGTGCCACCCCATTCGGAAGAAATGTCTGGAGACGAAGCCAGCTGCCAGAACAGCCGGATACTGGACCACTAGGCATGAAGACTCTGCACCAGACTATCTCTCTTCTTGTCTTGTGTTCGTCCCTTCACCCAGGAAGCCACCGGAACCAACACATCACAGAGGATGAACAGGGAAATCACTGCTGGGTCTACAGGATTACCTTTATCGCAGCAGCTTTTTGATGGAAAGCGACCACAGCTGTCCTTGTTCTGGAGGGCTCACCAATCAAAGGAAATAGTACCAGAACCAGGACTGGATGATGCGGCGAGCGATTCTCTGGTGGCCGAGTGTCCAGAGTTCGGTATTGCAAGATCCGGAAGCATACATATCGAGGACTTCTTCAGCAAGCTGTCAGGAGCCCGGAATTGCCAGCCCGGAGGTTCGGAAGACGTGTCGTACTGTGGCCAAGGCAGAGGTCGAAGCAGCAGGAGCATGCCGAATTGTCGCTTTCCTACAGAGCTCCTCAAGGTCGCTGCATTCGGTCTAGATGGCTCTGACGGAAGGTGTAGATTGATTGTGTTCCTCTGTTGAGATCGCTCTGAGCAGAACGACATATCTGATCGCGACCGCATGCCGCATGGGGCGGTCTGCCTGATGGAATCGATGCATGTTGCGCCCTGGAACGGATATCCGCGCATCAGGATCGATGCCGCCGTCGGCGCAGAAACGAGCTGTTCTCTGGCGCCGTCGTCGAGTTGATTTTGAGACAACGATCGCGTGGCTGTATCAACAAGCTGCGTGTCTGCTACGGGCTGGCTGGCTGGCTGGTTGATCATCACAAGGACTTTGATGAAAGGATGCAGAATGACATCAAGACAGGTAGGTCAATTGCTCAAATCATCTGCAGGCTGGACATCAGATGCCTCGTTGCGTTGCAGAAATACAGTGTACAGACAATTCACAAGAGGGATGAGACAACAAGGGGTGACTATATAATTCGAAAAGATTAAATTCACCTTGTCTGCGCAGACACGGGCCATTAGTCAAGTGGCAAGTAAGCGTTGCTTTGCGCATGCTGGTTCACCTGCGGGAGTGGATTATTGTTACGGGTAGGTTAATGGAATTCGTGCAGCACTTCGGTGTCTCTCAAGTACTGTCCAGCGACCCAGGCGATGATATGGTCCGTCCCTTTTTTTTTGCCCCTTTCCTTTGATCCTACGATTTTTTTCGGCGCTGGCAGATGAAAGAGGGTGGTGTTGGTGTTTCTGGTGCAAAAAGAGTTGGCGGTATGCGCAGAGTTGAACTCCTTGTTACGGAATTTCAATACGCGGCTTTTGTTATGGCTTGTGTTCAAGCCTCGTCAACAGCAACTCTTTTCGCACTTTCTTAGCTCCTCACATTAGACCACTTTCACCAACCAACCTTCACTCTCACAACACTTGAAGGTTACTTGATAGTGCCGTTGGCAGCTTCGTGTTATTCCTCACAGTTACCCCTGAATCACATCTTTCGCTATTCCCTTGTGTTTCTGCGCACAATTACCCGCGTCTTCCTACAACAGCAAATAGATTATAGATATGGCGCGCTCAAGCTCACCCCATCCCTCAATTTCTCTTATGGACATCTTCATCGGTTCTGGCCGCACGATTCGTAGACCCACCGGACCCCCAGGAGTAAGCAGAATGTGCGCTTTCTTCACATCCGAACATACTGACTTACGGAGATGCCCTTCTTGCAGATCCACCCAACAAGAAAAACCGAGCTCGTTCAAGTGCGCCCAAGAAAAGGCAGCGGCGATTCAAAGCCCGCCACCCCCGTCAAACCATCCAGCAAGAGGGCAATCGCCGGCTCTGACGCCAAGTCGAACAGCAAAAAGGAGGAAGCGCCAGCTGCCCCCAAGTCGAGCAGCAAGAAAGAAGAATCACCTTCTGGCTCAAAACCAAACAGCAAAAAGGACGACAGCCCACCCGACAGCAAGCCAAGCAGCAGCAAGGAAGACATTGCGCCTCACGACAGCAAGCCCAGCAGTTCAAAAAGCGACAGCAAATCCAATAGCAAAAAGGACGATAGCAAGCCCAACTCAAAGCCAACCAGCGCCAAAGCACCTTCCGAAGAAAAGGCCGCAGACGACAAAGAGGCAAGCGCGAAGAAATCGGACGGGAAGAAGCCAGAAGAGCCTGAAGCTAGTGGCAGCAAACCTCAAGCCAACGATCAGCAATCATCAGACCTCATCGTCTTCACTGCAGAAGAAGACGCAAAAATCTTACAAATGAAGACCGACGGCGTTGACGCAAAAGTCATCGGAGCGGAAATCGGTAAAGGCAAGAAACAGGTCAACAGGCGTTTCGACCAGATCAAACCTAAAGACTGGAAGCCAGAGAAGGCACGCAGGGACGCCGCTGCCGCCGCCGAGATGAAGAAGGACAAGCCCTCTGAGAAGCAGCTCTCCAAGGTTCCCAAGAAGGATGACAAGGCTGTTGAAGTCAAGCCCAAGTCCAACGTTGTAGAGAAGACCAGAAAGCCAGAGGACGCCCCTACAGCAATCCTGTTGGCCGGCAAGGTCCAACACCAACACGACGTCCGTCACAGACACGCTCATCAGCACGACCATCACATCCACGTCCACGACACTCACGAATCTCGTCCTCGTCGAGAACCCCACGACACCCATGAATCTCGTCCTCGCCGCGACAAGGACCGCACTCATGAATCTCGTCCTCGCCACCGCACCCAACCTGTCCTCGACCCTACAGACTCAGGCTACGGCTCCAACCACCGCTCTCGCCGTCCTCGTCCTCCCCCCTCCGTCGCCGCCTCTACCGCCTACACCATAAAAACCATGCCCTCCCTTACCGAAGACGACCTATTCTCCTTTGGCGAACTGCAAGCGCTGTCTGAACTCATCGGCAAGGATATGGAAGGTATGTGGCATAGAGTCAGTGCTGCATTCTTCGGCATGACTGGACGCAGGATTCCGGCCGAGGATATCAAGGAGAAGTTTGAGGGGTTGGAGGTTGAGTGATTGGGGAGATGGGAAGATGGATTGGAGATAGGGGTGGGTGGTGAGATTGGGGATGAAGATAGGCTGGGATTATGAGGCTGGTGGTTCACAATGACCAGGGCGGTCGTAATGGATGATGGACGAGGAAGATTCACAGAAAAGGAGCGCTCAATGATCATCAACTAACGGCCGAGCTCATTTCTCCGAAAACAGGGTTCCGTAGTCTCTATGCAGGACCTCCTTCTTGAACATGCCATGCTTTTTTATTCCATTTCCACCCATCTTACAGCCATGTTCATCACCAACGTGATACAAGTTCTCTGGTAAAGATCGAGGATGCACGATTGCCACTGTCGCTCTTCACAGTACCATCTTGTGCTCTATATTCGTCAACCAGTACACAGTGTCTTGAAGTCGTCAGAGCGGTCCGCATACATCGACTGCTCGAAGTACTTCACATAACATAGTGTCTAATGAAACAAATCAATTACATCATCTCAGCCGCAGGCAATGAAGGTGGCGTTGCAAGAGCTGATGGAAGGAGCTGCGTAGATCGTGCTTGATTCAATAGAAAAGGGAATAGGAAGCACGACTTCATACATCAAGTAGAAGAGCACGAGAGGAGAAAAAGGTGTTGTGAGTATGAGAATATCCGATACAGAGTAAACTGTGTGTTCCATATACCTTGTACAGTAAAGATCGGTACAAGTCTTTGATTCAAAACATTCACATTCAAAGAAAAGGAGAAGTCTGTCATAAGTAGTAAAAGAACAATGTCTATGCAGTTGTGTGTGTGTGTGGGTGGCTAATAAGAACTAAAAAGTGATACACATACGCTTTTCGTGTGTTCCTTCTGAAATGCTCGCGCGCGAGAGAAGAAAAGTGAAAAGAAAAATGCAGTTTTCCTGTCTTCTTTTGTCCATCCCCTTTTCCCCAACCACCAAGAAAAAGGGAAAAGAAGTGATGGAAACAAGGGAGGTGATAGTGGTGCAGGAGAGAGAGACAGAGAGAGAGATGTTCAACCCAACAGACAACATAATTCCAAATCCGCTCAAAACGCTGCCAAAGGGAAACTTTAAAGTTTAGTGAAAAAACAGAAGAAGGGCCGTTCGCTGAACCGGAATGAAAAGAGGTGTTGCAAAGATGCGGAAGTTGGAACAAAAAAGGAAAAGAGACATTAGTGGTACAAAGAGGAACAATTGTTGCCAGCCTTTCATGAGTGGTTCATTGCTGCAAACAAATATGATCCTGTTAGGTGGTTGATCAAGAACTGCGTCTGAATGATCAAAGAAAATGAACCGGCTTTTTTCATGTCATGGCCATGAGACGTAAACGAGCATTCAGCTCTTCTGTAGGGCTGTGTATCCCCTCATCTGAAGATGTACGTTCGATAGCATTCGTGGAGCGGCGACTTCGACGATGTATGGTTGGTGATTCGGGCGCTTCTCGTATCCTTCTACGGACCGAGCGACTGCCGTGGGAGCCTATACTGCCTCCAAGACTCTTCGGGCTGGGAAGAAGGTCTTCTGCGTCCCTGATGACCTTCTTAACTCTATCGCGAAGTTCTTGGACGTAGGGGATGATTCTCTTCAAAGTTGCAGTGTCGAAGTGGACCTTGTCTCGTCCTTCAGGATTGAGGCCTGACTCGGAAAGACGTTTCTGTTGGAGTGCTTCTATAACCGAACGTGCGACGGCTTCCGAGTTCTTGCGCGGTCTTTGTGGTGTTGCTGGTGTGACGAAGATGCCGTTATCAGTACGCGTGGGCGAGATGGCTCCTTCTTCGCTGAAAAAGTCGAATTCACCGTTCGCTGGCGATTCAGGTAGACCGAACAAAGGGGCGGGCATCAGGTAGTCTGTCGATGGAAGTGTCGGGAGTGGCTCGTCGAAGGCATCGTAGCTGAAAGACGGCGACGAGGGTGGTGAAAATCTCGGAGCCAGAGTTTGTTCGTCAGACTCCTGGTCTGCCAAGTCGATCATAGCATCGACTTCGTTCCACATCTTCTCGTTTCCTCCGTCAAGCACTTCAAGCATAACAGCCCGCATTTTGTGTTCCTTCAGTTCCTCGATTAGAAGGCCCCAGTCCCGAAGCAGACCAATGTTGGCGAGCACGTTGGTCTGCTGGTCCCGGATAGACTTTGGTACAAACATTGAAACACCGCTGTCAAGCCTCTTCTCTTCTGGAGCACTTTCATCCTCGAAGTCGAAATCCTCGTTCCAGTCTTCCGTGACACCTTTGCTGCCAATGCCCCAAGTGCCGAATTTGTTGGTGCCAGTCCGTTTTCCATCAGCATCCTGGGCTACAGGTACGCTCTGGCTTCGAGTGTGGAGACCGCTCGGGGCCCGTCTTCCAACCGATCTGCTACCACGAGTTTCGGCGTCCTTCTTGCCATGCACAGTCTTAGGGCGGGGAGGTGAACGGTTATTCGGACTTTTCTCCATAGGTTGTTGTTCGGACCAATCGAAGATGCTGCTACGTGTATCTCTGTCTGTGCTCCTAACAGTGGGTCGTTGTGGAGTCGTGTTCGCGGAGCTCGAAGCATGGCCATGTGGTGACAGGAGATCAGGAGTGATGCCGAGGTGAGCGAATCGATTTTTCATTGGGACTTGGGGTTCATCATCGTCGTCGTCAGCGAAAGACCACGAACTTTCTTGATCCTCGTCATCGTCAGTGATATCTGGGAAATGTTCGGCATGCTGGCGAAGGTCAGAAAGAGATGGCATAGTAGGTGGCGACGATGGAAGGTTAGACTGGGCAGGCGAGTCTTTCATGTGAAGCATTGGTGAACTGCCGAGTGACTGTTTCCGAGCGGAGCGGGCTGGGGTAGAGATAGCGTCTTCTTCATGTATAATGCTGTGTCGTGGCTTTAGTGAATACCCCTGTTCGTGCAAAGGTCCTGTTTGTAGGTAGTCTCTGAGCATTGTGTGTTTGCCATGGATATGGAACGGCGGCGATTCACCAAAAATTGTTTCTATCGAGGGGCCTCGCCTGCCTGGACTCGACTTTGGCGCTCTGGTCCGGACAGAGTCGTAGATTGTGTCGCTCTGTGAATCAAGTCCCTCATCATCGCCTGATCTAATATCGCTGTCTGAGCCGGCCAGATGGATTGTGTTGTCGACATGATGTGCCGCTTGATGGAGAGGCCGCGAGGCTGAAGGTAGAGTGTCAAAGGATACACGGTCCTCGCTATGTGTGTTTGAGAAGCTGGCGGCGGTGGGTAATGCAGTCGAAGCGATGTGCGTCTCGTGCGATGGTAGTCTAAGGTCTATCTCGGTAATGGGGCTGCTAACAGATGGCGTCTCGGTGTTTTGTGTAATGTTATCCACGTCACGGTGTCTCACAGGCGCCTCTGACGATTCATCGTGGGAGATGCTTTGCCTGTTGCCCATGCTGGTGGGCGTGTTGGATCGAGCTCGCGCGCCCGGGCGACGGTATTTTACGATGGGCGCTGCTTTGATAGGAGGTGGCTGCTTCCATATTTGTGGCTCCACGGGGAGGATGTCGCTAACAGAGAAGGAACTTGACGCCGACTCGATTCTGGACATTTCTGCGACGTCTTGCCTATCCAGTTCGTCTTCGATGCCTTTTCGCTCATCTATCCTGGAGTCAAAAGAGTTGGTTTGGAAATCAACAGTCGCTCGCGAAAGTCGATTTGACGCAGGGGTTGCAGTTTGATGAGATGGAGAACCGTAACGGCCGGCTATCGGGATATTTGGCATCAAATTCGAACTGGACACAGCATCGAAATCATCATCTTCTGCATCATTTTCAAATTCAATGGGGGCAGCATTGATATTTTCTCTAGCGGACACCAAGACCGGCCGATATTTCCTGTCCGCCGTCACCCTTTTGATAGGATTTGGGATGCTGGTCGAGCTGCGACGCCGTGTCGAGGCTGCTGGAACTACAGCCACCTTTGGACCGAAATAATTACGCCATTGGACATCGGGCATCGACTCGGGCGTTGGATCATAAAGAGAGCGTCTGAAAGCGTCTTCGGCTTTCGGTATGGCGTGAGAGCGTCGTTCTTGCAGCGTAGCACTTCGCTTGTGACTGGTTGCAGGGCGTTTCAAGGTCGAGACAGGAATCTTTGTGGTTGAACCGCCATACGAGGCCGAGGTGGGCACTTTGCTCACAGACGTGGAGCGTTTGACAAGTTTGTTCGGGGCTGTGTTGATGGGTGGAGTGTGGCTGGGGATCATCGGGGTAGTGGATCCCGAGGCTGAAGGAGCGACAGAAATGACGGAAGAATTTGGGCGAGAACTCGAACATTGCGTCGAGTCGCGCGAAGAAAAGGAAAACCTCTTGAGCCATGACGGCGTCTGGTGAGGAGCAAAGGTGGGTGATATCGGGGGTGAGGCTTCAGCATCGTCTCGAAGCGACGGGTTTGCGCCACGAGGCATTGTATGGCCGTCTCTTTTTCTCAGGACCGTTCTCGCATGGTCCGGCGCATTCCTCGAGGATGTGGTGTGCTGGTTGGTTGCAGAGCGGAGAGACTGGCGAGCCGAGAAGCCAAAGGGTGCACAGAAGGATGTAGGAGTCGCGTATGTGTCGACGGTCTGTACCGTGCAGGTTGCCGTCGATGTCATATCACTCTTGGGCGGAGCAAGCGACGATGCTCGGGAATTGGACCGCGGTCGAGGGCCCCCCGGGTCGGCAGTGAAAGGAAGTGAACGAGGGTGGAGGAAGGAGCTGGATCTATGCGAATTGGAGCGGCGGCTGGTGTTGTTGGGGATAGGTTGTTGACGGTCGAGGCGAGAGTCGTGGTCTGGTCGGGCAAGCACAAACCCCAGGGCAGAGACGCCAATGCCGGTGCTCGTTGCACAGAGCTGTATAGGATTGGTGGTCAGTCGGCAGTCGACCAATCGAGGCTGCAAGGGAGAGAAAGAGAGAGACGGTCAAAGCTGCATGACGAAGTGTGCAGCCGCGGTACGAAGAGGATTAGGCTTCATGGAGCGACCGACAGGGGGGAGGTACAAGCAACAGCAGTCAGGGACAGCTAGCGACGGGGATAGGACAGGGCCAGGGACGAGATAGGATAGGGAGGGGCAGGCATATCATGTAGAGTGCGTGGAGGCTGGCCGCTGTAGCATGGCGGCAGCGGCTGGGGGCATTATAGTGAAAGCGGGTCTCTGGTGCAGCAGCTTACCGTGGGGATCGTTTTCATGCTTTGGCCGATGCCATGCGCCCATCAAGAGACTCTCGGACGGGCGACGCGCTTGACGGGGTCGAGGACGGCGAGGGAGACTGGACGGACTGCTCAACGTATCGCCCTGTCCTAGTCGTCTTCATAGTGGAGTAGGCGGTCGCTCTACTCGTACTGATCTTCTTCAAGGCCGCAGCGCAAAGCCCCACAAACAAGGCACAGGCACAGACACAGGCAAAGGTTGGTCAAGACGGCGGACGGCGAGCACTCGGCGTCGCCTAGGTTCAGAGGATGCCCGGTTTTTTGTTATGAATGTGATTATGAAGAAGGGCTGACCTGCGTTTCAAGCGCCTACCGCTACCCCTCAGCTCAGACGCCACGACCGTTCCGCTGAAGACTCGTGAAATGTCCAGAGTAGACTTTAACGGCGCCCCAAACAATCAACCCAATGCTCCCGCAGCCAACGCTTCAGCATGAAAGCATTTTCGAGAAGGAATGCCATGATCCACAACAACTGCTGTCCTCGTAGCCACGACTAGTCGCCTGTACAATACACATCGACTCTGCCATCAATTCCTGGCCATGCACAAATGCTGCATTGAGTCGTCGAGTCTATTTTTTGCCCTCGCGCACGTCGCTCTGTTTCAGCTTTCTGCAGTGTTGTTGTCAATCTCTCTCCTTGCACAGCGCCCTCAACCGCCAAACGCTGTGCAACTCGCCCATTCGCCGTCTACTGAAATACATCCCTGCAATTAACAATCAATCCTTACGGCACATACGTCCGCCGTCCTGCGACTGGTCTCCGCCTGCAACGCCGTTTCCCCATCCATGTAGCTTTATGACATTACTCGGCCATGTTTCTTCTCTTGCCGTGAAACCCGACTTGAAGATCCAATCCCCAAACGCTCTGATCCCAAGCCAGCATTGCAAAGGTCAATAAATCCGAGTGCGTCTTTCTCTAAGAGCCGTGGGTCCAGGCGAAAGTTAACAACCGAAATATCCACCACTAAAGCAGCTGCATGCTGATTTGTACCAGCTGCAGGGTGTTTAGCGTTGTCGGTTCCTTTGAATCCCGGACAATGTTGCAACTTGCAGGGGCGTCTTTCCTAAGGCGTTCCACGCAAGCGCTTGGATCATTTGGGGTTCTGTCAGTTTTGAACCGCCGTGCGTCGAGCATCTGAGATCTGGCATGACGGTACACATGTACTCACACGACTCTTGGCTGTATAGAATGAGACCGAGCCTCACCTTCCATGCATCCACCGCGTGCCTGCGTGTGATGGTAACTCTGAGAAGCCATGCAACGATGCACCAGAGGATGACACATTCAGCAAGCAACATGAAACGCTAAGAAGCATGGCAGACGGATCATCCGCTTTCTCGATCGACTCGGTCCGCCTGAAGCTGTGGAGTTAAAGACGACACCCAGGATATCGCGTAAGTCACCAGCCGTGTGCAGCTGCGGGAAGCAGAAGTTCTTGTGTACATCTTCCAACACGTCAATTCTGAAAGTTACACAATTTTTGTCGACTGATAAGCAGGGACGAAACCATCCCTTGAAAGCTAGAAAATCAGAGAGATGACGGCTGGTCTTACGCAATGTCCCTTCGAGGGAGGTCGGGGAAAAGTGATCGTCAATCTACTTCACCAGGCCCAGGAGTTTGGTACTGCATAGTAACCTTGCACATCTGCTCTGTAGCGTGGCTTGTCGTCGTGAAACGGCACGGTCCATTTTGTCCTTATGCTCAAGCCCAATCCGGACTTGACGGAGGTTGACACCGCTTGGCGAGCCATCAGGACCCAGGTTCGTCTGGATGACGGGGATGAATTGTTGGCAAGTCACTCTGTACTATATCAACAAGGGTGTTCTGCCGATCAAAGAACTTTGAGAAGACTGCACTCGACCGCTGCTTGTGTTTTGTCCTTCAACCTTCAATACATAACCACATAGCTAGCTGGACTCGCACAGAAATAGCATATGTGTTTCAACATGATTGATATCACCTTACTACTGAAGGTTGCTCGGGCAGCAACTGCACAGATGCTTTCCTCAACCCGGAATTCAACTTATCCCACTTTAAATGCACATTGCTGATCCATCCAATCGTATTTTGACTTTCCGCACCTTTTCCTTAGGTTGTACAAGCTACTATTCGTAGCCATCTGGGGAATAAGAAGATCGATTAAGTAAATGCGTATTCTCCGCGGCTGATTGGTCATTGTTGAGAAATACCTGACTTGCTGCGAGAACGAACAAGACTCGTCGGCTGGCACTGCCTGGGAGTGTCCTTTCACCCTTCATGCAGCCGGGCTGTGAGGACCTGATGCCAACCGCAGTGGGTTCCTTACGCAACGCGTGCCAAGAACACGGCTATTCAACCCCAGCTCCAATACTGCAAAATGTACCAGGCTGCTCTGTGGTCGGAGAGAGAGCTGGTTGCTTTCTTGAAGATGATTGAATCCAGAAGATGTCTTCTCCAGTGTCTCGCTGGTGCTTGTTTTCTAGTTTCGTGATCAAGTAGTTCGATATTAAGAAGTAGTGCGGGTCACCGAAGCTGCAAGTCCGTTGGTGTCACTTGAGATTCGGCTTGCGTTCGATATCACGTGCGTATGAGATTTCTCGCGCCTCTCTTCCGCAATTGCGCCCTTACTGGTTGACGGACAAGAGCTGGATAAACAACGCAAGGATATCGGATCACCACAGAGCAACGCCTTTTACCGTAGAAGCGTGAATTTTGTTTCTTCCAGGAAGGATTCAAAGATCCACAACGCGAGCATAGCGGTGTAGTCTCTTCAGCGCCACCCTAACCAAACACGCAAAAACTCACATCTCCGAACAATTCTGTGATACAATGGAGGCCGAGATCAGAGCCCAGATTCCTGGAATCGACCCTGTCGTGTCCGAGTATTCCGCAGGATACCTCAACCATGCCTCGCAAGCATACAGCGCGGAAGGCGACCCACTGTCAGATGCCGCCGCCGCTGTGACAGCTCTGCTGCTTTCCGCTTCTGGTGATCTGTCTAATCAGAATGAGTTGACAATTCAAAATCTGATTGAGAAATTTGTCTCCAAGCTCTCCTCTCAGTCTGATGCTGATGGCGAGAGACGCCAGCAGGCACCTTCTGCCAGAAAGCTGGAGCAAACCATCCAGGTCGGATCTTCAAGAAACATCTCATCAACTCTTGGCTTGACTGGTGGTGTCAACTTGGAGCACACTGGTAGACAGATCGAATCTCGTGTCGACAAGAAGAAGCTAGAGAAGGCTGAGAAGAAACTCCGCGCGAAGCAAGACAGAAAGGAATTCAAGAATGTCGAGTACGAGGCTTCCAGACTTTTGGAGATGCCCGATGATGCTGCATCATACGAAGAATTCTTCATGAAGGTCAACCCTCTGCAGCTTGGTTCTGACAACCAAGGCAAGAGCAAGGACATCAAGGTTGATGGTATCGATATCACTATCGGTGGCAAGCGAATCTTGAGTGATACCAACCTGACCCTGGCCTTTGGTCGCAGATACGGTCTGGTCGGTCAGAACGGTATCGGTAAATCTACTTTGCTCAGAGCTTTGAGTAAGAGAGAGGTCGCCATTCCAACTCATATTTCCATTCTTCACGTCGAGCAAGAGGTAAGCTTTGTCACACCATTTGCTCTGATTTATAGCTGACCTCAATAGATCATGGGAGACGACACTCCTGCTCTTCAAGCCGTTCTGGATGCCGATGTCTGGCGCAAGCACTTGCTGAGAGAGCAAGACGTGAGTCCAACCTGTTACTATCCCGTTGAATACACAACTGACGATTTCGCAGAAAATCACCAAGGAACTTGCAGAATTGGAAGCCAGCCGATCACAGATGGCAGACACATCAGCAGATGCTGCCAAGCTTGACACTCAGCGAGAAGGTCTCGACATCACGCTTAGTGATGTCCAGGGCAAGCTTGCCGAAATGGACTCCGACAAGGCAGAATCTCGTGCTGCCAGTATTCTTGCTGGTCTTGGTTTCTCGCATGAGAGACAGCAGTTCGCCACAAAGACCTTCTCTGGTGGTTGGCGTATGAGATTGGCACTTGCCCGTGCCCTGTTCTGCGAACCTGATCTTCTCATGCTCGATGAACCTTCTAACATGTTGGATGTTCCTTCCATCACCTTCTTGTCAAACTACCTGCAGACCTACCCAAGCACCGTCTTGGTAGTTTCTCACGACAGAGCCTTCCTGAACGAAGTCGCCACAGACATTATCCACCAACACTCAGAGCGCCTTGACTACTACAAGGGTGCCAACTTCGAATCCTTCTACAATACCAAGGAGGAGAGAAGAAAGACCGCTAAGAGAGAGTACGAGAAGCAAATGGGTGAGCGTGCGCATCTGCAAGCATTCATCGACAAGTTCCGTTACAATGCCGCCAAATCATCCGAAGCACAGTCACGTATCAAGAAGCTGGAGAAGATGCCCATCTTGGAGGCTCCCGAGAGCGAGTACACTGTCAAATTCTCGTTCCCCGATGTGGAAAAGATGACACCTCCTATCATCCAGATGTCTGGTGTTGCTTTCGGTTACACACCCGACAAGCCGTTGCTCAAGAACGTGGACCTCGATGTTCAGCTCGACTCGCGTATTGGTATCGTTGGACCCAACGGTGCTGGTAAAACAACAGTACTCAAGCTTCTCATTGGTGCTCTCCAACCGACTACTGGTCTCATATCTCAGAACCCTCGTCTGCGTATTGGCTTCTTCGCTCAACACCACGTCGATGCTCTGGACTTGAACATGAGTGCTGTCGGCTTCATGTCCAAGATGTACCCTGGTAGGACCGATGAAGAGTACCGTAGACATCTCGGTGCCTTCGGTATCACTGGTATGACTGGTCTACAAAAGATGGAGATTCTTTCTGGAGGTCAGAAGTCTCGTGTCGCTTTTGCCATCCTTTCCCTTCAGAACCCTCACATCTTGGTTCTTGATGAGCCCTCTAACCATCTGGATATCGAAGCTATGGATGCTTTGGCAGATGCTCTCAAGAACTTCGGCGGTGGTGTCTTGATGGTTTCGTAAGTTTTCCCCCATACCCAAACTTTTCCGTTTTTTCTTTGAACCTCTGCTAACGTGGACCAAGCCATGATGTGTCCATTCTCAGTGCGGTCTGTTCTACGCTCTGGGTGTGTGACCAGGGAAGTGTTGAGCACTTTGATGGAGATGTCAACGATTACAAGCGCAGAATTACAGCCCAGGCCGATGCAGCTGGAGTTGCGACCACTCACCACTAGTGTATTAGCGACAGAGAGACTATCACGGTGCTCATGCAATACTAGAGCTTGTGGCAATGGCAAGATAGATATGAACAAAATGCATACGTCTGGACAAGTGCTGGACAGACTGGTCATCGATGTGGTATAGACCTTGAGAAGTTTCATCTGAAGCATCCTTGCGATTCTTTGACCTTCTAGTGATATGTACCCAGCTCTGCTACCACTGTATCCTATATGCCCAGTGAATCACCATGTTGTGACATTTTCCATATCATTCACCAAATATACCACTGCCCGTGCATCCCATCAGCTTCCTTCCGCATTAGGTAATCGGTCGGGATTTACCGACCGATTAGCTCACAGCAGAAAAAATGAGACTCCAACGCCAGCGCGTGTCAACATCCCACCATCCCACTTCCATACCTTTACCTCCCTTCTCTCATACACTACCTTTCCTTGGGGTCGGCCAGTCATAGCCCACTCCTTTATTCCTGCGACCATTTCCTCCGCACTCGCTCCGCACCTCTCCTTCCTTTCTCGAGTATCCGCAGCAGGCCCTGCGTTTGCGACAGCTCACTTGCGCTTCTGTTGGTCGGCGAATACTAAAGCTCAGAGCTTTGTCCCAGTCCGAACTTACGCAAAAAGAAGAATGCCTCCCAAGAAGGTCGTCAAGGAGGAGAAGATCCTTTTGGGTCGTCCCGGAAACAACCTGAAGAGTGGTATCGTATGTAGGGATTAGCTTGCCGACGCGACCTCAGAGCTCTTGCTAACACCAATTGCAGGTTGGTCTGGCTAACGTCGGCAAATCCACCCTCTTCCAGGCCATCACCAAGTGTTCCCTTGGTAACCCTGCTGTACGTCGCCCACCCTTCACTTCAATACTTCATTCACTGACTTGTCTCTCAGAACTTCCCCTACGCCACTATCGACCCCGAGGAGTCTCGTGTCATCGTTCCCGATGAGCGTTACGAATGGCTGTGCGAGCACTACAACCCCAAGTCGAGGGTGCCCGCTCACCAGACTATCTACGATATTGCTGGTCTGACCCGTGGTGCTTCCACTGGTGCAGGTCTCGGTAACGCTTTCTTGTCCCACATTCGCGCCGTCGATGCCATCTTCCAGGTCGTCAGATGTTTCGATGATGCCGAGATTATCCACGTTGAGGGTGACGTCGACCCCGTCCGCGATCTTGAGATTATCAGCGAGGAGCTTCGTATCAAGGATATCGAGTTCGTCGAGAAGGCTCTTGAGGCCCTTGGCAAGCAGACTCGCCGTGGCGGTCAGTCTCTTGAGATGAAGAAGCTCAAGGAGGAGGAAGCCACTGTCGGCAAGATCCTCGCCCTCCTTCAGGACGGCAAGGACATCCGTCACCAGCACTGGAGCCCCAAGGAGGTACGTTGCGCCCGCTCTTCTCCTCTCACAATCACCCATCCCCCTTGCAATGATGATCCAACTTTTATACCCAGCTCTCAGAATAACGGTTCATCGGAGAAAGGCTTAACCTGTTGGGATTGGACCCAACAGGGAGCTGGATCCAGAACTCTTTTGCTGTCAAGTCCCTTCTGAAACACCCATCAACTTCTATTCTCAACATCACCTTGACCTTTGGCGTACATTGGCTAACGATAATCAATAGGTTGAGGTCATCAACCCTCTTTTCCTCCTTACAGCCAAGCCCGTTGTCTACCTGACCAACCTTAGCGAGAGAGACTACCTTCGCCAGAAGAACAAGCACTTGCCCAAGGTTGTTGAGTGGATCAAGACCCACTCTCCTGGCGAGCCCATCCTCCCCATTTCCATCTCACTCGAGGAGCGCCTCAGTCGCTTCGAGACCGATGCTGAGGTCGAGGAGGAGTGCAAGAAAATTGGCGGCAAGTCTGCTCTGCCCAAGGCCATCACCACCATGCGCAAGGCCCTCAACCTTGGCAGTTTCTTCACCACTGGTACTGACGAAGTCCGCCAATGGACCATCCGTAACGGTACCAAGGCCCCCCAGGCTGCTGGTGTCATCCACGGTGACTTCGAAAAGACTTTCATCCAGGCCATCGTATACAACTTCAACCTCCTCAAGGAGTTGAAGACCGAAGCCGAAGTCAAGGCCCAAGGAAAGATCATGACCAAGGGCAAGGACTACATCGTCGAGGATGGAGACATTCTCCTCATCAAGGCCGGTGCCGCCAAGGCTTAAGCATTGCGTTGATGACGTTTCTTGATGCTCGAACCCTTTGGATGAATGATGAGTGGGACTATGATGGTCACTCAGCCATCGTCAGGCATCCTGTTTCTTTTTTAGTGCCACGACCTTCCAGTGTCGTGGCGACTGGTCGAACAAGCCAGTACTGAAGCAGCTTGCTGCGAAGAGTTGATACCCGGCCTCCTTTATGGCCAGCACATATAAATGGGGCAGCTCGATATATGTTGCAGACTCGCCTCATGCCCCATTAGCATATGCTTGATAATGAAAAGTAAATGACTTTAACATGACAAACATCTTGAAATCCTTGTTGTGCTCCCAACGTGTTGAGGTGGTCGTAGTCTTGTCTTCTGGCTCGTAACTGGACGGCTCGTACTTGGACGGATGCAGAAAGCCCTGACTGTAGATGATTGAGTGATATATCACAGCGTACTATAGCATGCAGCCACCGACCACATGCGCATATGCGCGTGTCCGAAGGCTGTCCGACAAGCTCTAGGACCAGTGGATGGGCATTCGCGTCGTTCAGTCAGCCTCGTCAAAGTAAAGTTAACGGATTTTGACACGGGCTCGGCAGCCGGCTGGAGTTTCCAACAGGGCGGTGACGTACTCCGAGCCGGCGACAGTCACATGTTGAAGCGGTTTCGAGGCGTAGCTCTAGGCACGCAGATGCGAAGACTAACTTTCAGACGTTTGCGAGAAGCGGACCATCGACATTTTGAGATTTGGTTGGTTTCGACGACATCAGGCGCCGACAGCATCTGTTTCTACGACTCCGCGGCCCAGTTGTGGGCGCATTTCGCATCCGACCCTGCCATGACCCAGCAACCACCGATTGAATGCACCCTCTAAACCCCTTTCTGCGGGCCTTCTTCAGAAGCACCCTTCCGTCGCAGTGTCTTCCTGTGAACCACCACATCCTCCTGGTTCCGACGACAGAATCTCTGTTCCAAGGCCGCGACCGCGAGACGACTGCGCCCTACGCCGACCTTGCCGTATCTGAAGAATTTCTCTCCAGCCATGTCATTCGCGTGCCTGGAGGCATACCCCCTGGAACAACGTCGAAAGATGGAGCCAACATTCGGGAGTCCAAGGGCAAGGCCAAGCAGTATAACACACTCAACGGCAGGACGGTAGTTGTCAAGGATACCTATGTCTACAGCAACAAAGGTTTGCTTCGTCTGCCAGCTGCTCTGCGACTCGGCTAATCCAAGCGCATAGGTTTCAAGAGTTTGACCCAGGCGCAGCTATTGACTGACGCCCTGTTCTGCCCTGACATGCCTGAGGCTCAACAATGGCTAGTCTACTACATCTCGAGGCCGCTAGTAGGCTCATACGATCCTGTTCGCATAATACCGGCAACTATCAAAACCGCTGCGCAACGCGCTGCAGACAAACCCAAGCCTACTACTCCCTCGGCTTCGGATGTGAAAAAGAAGGAAATCGCATCATTCACGGAACTTTTGACCGCATTTCCTCTGATCGCTCGACAACTGCAAAATGGGCTGGACAGAACACTCAAGGAGTTCGCGGCACAATTTGAGGGTCCAGTACCCAACAAGTCATCGCGAGCACCTTCAGTGAGCTCACAAAGGTCGAATTACTCTTCAACCTCATTGGAAGATTCATTGGCCTCGCTAAGGTCTTCGGTATCTGGGAGCGACAGCAGTAACCGTCTCTCGTCATTGACTATTGAGCCGGAAGAGGACACTATGCGATTTGCACTCGAAAGCGCTACTACCGCTGCTATAGACCTGTTCCAAGGAGTCGACAGACAACAACTATCTCTACTCGGTGCTACAACCGATTTGTCAGGACCGGTAGTTGAGCGCATGATCGAACGCCATGTTGCTGAGCAGCTGCATGAATTTATCTTGTTCCCTCGGATATGCAACATCCGCCGCTCGGAAGATCTTGAACTCGAACACCGACTTCGAAAAATGGCCAATATTGACGTTGCTCAAGTCGGTATACCAATAGAAGATGGCATGAGAGGAAAGCGGGATATGGCGATCCGAATCGATCGGGCTGTAGGCATGTTCAAGAAGATGGGAGTAGCCAGTAGTCCACAAGAGATGATCGAAGTCCTGCTGGATACGGCAAAGACAGTCACTGCGACCCCGACTACAAACGTAGGAAAGCCTGGCGTTCGACCGGACGGCGCAGCCGAAAAGCCAAGCATAGCCATGACTATCAACGCCGATGCGCTTGTTTCAATGCTCCTGATTGTCGTCATCAGGAGCTCTGTTCGACATTTGCACGCCAGGCTGTCATACATGAGACACTTTGTGTTTATCGACGATGTTGATAGTGGAGAGATGGGCTATGTGCTGAGCACATTCGAAGCTGTGCTTGTTTATCTCTCTCAAGACTCTGACGCCTTACGAATTGCCGCGAGAAAGAATGCACGGTTATGGAAAGCAACCAGAAATGGAAACACAACAGAGCTGCGGAACATGCTTCAACCCGATGCTCCTTGGATAGCGGACGGCCAAGTCATTGAAGAGGCGCCATCTTTCGATGAGAGCTTCAGAGATCAAGACGACTCTAGTCTCAGTTCGCGACTCACGAATCTCAATCTTGAAAGAGAACAGCAACTATCGATGCCGAATGGCAATTTTGCCGCCATTGGTGGATCACTGGCCCACGTTTTCCCTTTCCAAAAGCCCCCGACGCCACCACCAGAAGCCAGTCAGCCAAAACGAAAGCGTGTGACAATGGCGAGCTTCCGTAGTGCTTCTGTATCATCCGGATATTCGTCTCCATCTCGGTCCAGGTCCAAGAGCATAGATTCTACTGTGAGCACCCTTTCAACAGGCGACAGCTCACTCGACAAAATATCACAGTCGCAAGGACTGGGCGGAGACTCAATCTTGATGATGGCTATTGAAAATGGTCAGCTCGCATCTTTGGAGTATCTGCTGAGTCTGGATCAATATTTCCCGATCGAATTCGTGCTAGAGGACTGCAATAATGAGGGAGTGACCCTACTGGTCGCGGCTGTACAGGGTGATGACAAGAATTTGACCAGTTTCTTGCTAAATCACATCATCAGGAATGCGCCTTCAGATAACACCTTACGAGCCTACTTTGTCCGACAGGATAGCAAGGGGAGAAGCTTCGCCCACTATCTTTTCAACCAACCGCATCTCATGGAGACTGTAGGCGAAATGCTACCTTGGCAGCTGAAAGACAAGAATGGACAAACACCACTGTTTGCTCTGTGCAGGTCTTATGATCATCAAGAATATCGATGGATGGTCGAAACAGCTTTGACACTTGCTACAAACACCCAACCAGACCAAGAGCCGCTTCATCTTGCGGACCATATAGACAACAAGGGCAACACTCTGCTACACATCGTCAACGATCCACATTTGACAGCCTGGTTGCTTCGCCATTGCGACTCCGACGTCAATGCAGCAAATGACAAACGTTTCACGCCGCTGATGATGGCGAGCAAATACGGTAGACTCGACTTGGTTCGAACATTCTTCGGCGATGCTCGAGTGGATTTGCAAGTCAAAGACATCAGAGGCTTGACGGCTGTTGAGTTAGCCAAAGACGACGAAGTCAGGAATCGAATAGATGACCTAGTGCTGCTATCGACACGGCCAGCCGCAGATGGACGAATTACCTCCGTGGTTCGCTCATTCTTCGTGGAAGACGCAACTGTCCGCCTAGTTCTGAAGTCTGGTGGTCCAAATCCAAATGGCACGATCACCGTCACCACTTGCCGTCGCTCTGTCGCCGACTTTGAGCATCTTGCAAAATGGCTCTCGATAGAGCAACCTGCATCGTGGATACCGACACATTTCAACCTGACTTCTCCATTCTTGATACCATCCAAGCCATCACGAGCGGTACTACGCGACACTCAATTACGTCTTGATGCTTTCTTACAATGTCTCCTAACTCATTCCACCTTCTCAACACACGAGATGGTGTGGGAGTTTTTCCTCGTCCCTGATATCGATCCTGCCATGTTGGCCGATCGAGCCAAGCACAAGGCAGAGATTCGTGTTGAGAATGTTCGGGATGACTATGACCCCATAATTGATACGCGCGAGGTTGAGTCCTTCGTATCTCATGCGAAAGAGCAACTTCGTGGGGTCTCTCATGCCGTCAAGACGCTCATAAGACGTACGAATGCACAGCGCATGCTGAACTCCGATTTGTACGATGCGCGCTTACTCAACAATACCGGCGTCGCCACCCTCCAATTCCTACCCCGAAAGTACCTTATAGCATTTGAACGATACACGAAGGCTCTGGCCCCATCAGAATCTGATCCTCTTGCTAACTTCTACTACTCCTTGCACTCGATCGCAAATTCATCTACGGCAGTACTTGTTGCTCTTGGGCGACCGACGAGTCTGATTGGCAGCATGAATCAAGCAAGGAGGAACATTGAAAGAGCGCTCGGCTCTCTCGGCAGACAATCCCGCTGGACACCAAATATAGGACTATTTGATGAGACACGGCGGTCGATTGCAGCCGAGGCCGAAGAGAAAGCGACGAAGGCTCAAGGCGAGCTTGATTCTCTGGGAAGTGAGCTACGCTACACACAACAGACTGTGGCAGCAGAGTTGGCTGGCTGGCAAGAGCAGCACGTCAAGTTTGGCAGACGGATGCTGAAGGATCTCGCCAAGGGCATGGTCGTCAAAGAAAAGGCCAGGCTCGAGAGCATGAAAAGAGCACTGAGAGAGCTGCAGAGGTGAACATAGGCATGGCTTCATCATGGTACGTGCGCATCGGCGTTTGAGGACACAGGATCGTTCTACTGTAATTTTAGCAGGAACTCATGCTTCAGAGGCGTTTAAAGGCCATGTAGCATTATCACGGCTTGGGTAAAGCATAACGATTTGAGATGTTGATCAAAGTAGCATAGGCTGGACTCGTGGTTGTAGAATTCGTGAGAACATGAACGTATTTCCTTCTCACACCAGCAGGTCCTTGTTCTTCAGGGCCATCTGACAACTTGAGTTACCTCGAGGCAGCTACAGCTCGTCGTCGAACTCCATTAGAGGTTGGTTCCTTCCTTATTAGTCGTGTTTCGGTATCGTTGCCTTGGGCACTGACCGCCTCGAGACTCGGCGGCTTCCACCACCTCCAATAATTTCCTCCATCAAGCCCTCTCTCGTCGCTTTCGCCCTTCCAATACGTCTATCTTACGTGTTTTCTTCTTCCATCTGTTTAGAACACTCTTCCTTCACGTTCATCAAGCCCCTACTCTCATCCAACACCTCTTACGCATCATCAACATCATGCCTCCCAAGAGAGCCAAGAAGGGCGCTATTAGCCAGACCGAGAAAGCCATCGCCGACACCCAGGCTGCTGTCGAAGAAGCTACTCAGCATGCTGTCCGCGAGCAGGACCCTCAGTCTGACGCCGTTGATGCCGAGACTCAGGTTGACGCAGACCCCCAGTCTGATGCTGGAGTCACATCTAGCGAGCACATTGATAGCTCAAACGCCAATGTTGCTGATGGTGCGATGGCATCGACTGCTGATGACGCTGATGATGCCGATGATGACGCTGGCGCTGCTACACCTGCTACTGAGGTCACCACTGATGATGAGGCCGACGCTGAACCTGATGCCCAGCCCAAGGTTGCGCAGAAGAAGGGTGCCATCGCCGGCAAGAAGATGCCTGCCACCACTACAAAGAACGAAGATGGTAGTGAGAAGAAGATCCGCAAGAAGAAGCGCAAGAACGACCCTACCAACTTCCATGCGTACATCCACAAAGGTTAGTCTTCCTCTTTCCTGTCTTGGTCTGCCTATTGCTGACACTCTCGTCCAGTCCAGAAGGAGATGTATCCTACTCTTTCAATGTCCAAGACTGCAATGTGCATCATGAACGACTTTACCAATGGCAAGTAACATCACGACTTTGACATACCGTTCAAGAGCTTTTAACTAATGCCATCCTCAGACATCTGTACCCGTATTGCAGAGACAGCTTCCAGTCTGTGCAAGAAGCAGAAGAAGGCTACGCTTCAGGCTCACGACATCCAGTGCGCGTGAGTAACATTGCTCCTTTCCCTCCATTCTTTTTATGTCTTGCTGCATCGTTCCTTTCCTCTCCTTGTCACTTTACTGTGTCTGCGGTCATCCATGTTCTCCTGGACTAACCTTTCCTTCCATAGTACTAAGCTCGTCATCGGAGGCCAGCTGGCAAAGCATGCTATCACCGAAGGAACCAAGGCCATCCGTCAATACAACCGCAACACTGGACACAACTACCGCTAAATCTTCTTACTGGCAACAGCTACACTCGATGTATGCAAACTCACTCGAGAGACAATACGGTACTATATCGTGTGACAGAACACGACTGGCTGGAGTACCCGAAGTGTGATGGGTTACATGATGGAATGAAACAAGGAAGCACTTCTTGAATTGCTTTTTACTGAAGGACAGCTATGCACGGATAAATTTTATGTTGCTGGGAATATACTGATGGATACACGAAAGACATGACACTATGCTACAATCGCTTTGCTACACCAACATACAATTCAAGACAGACTAGCTTAATCTACTTACTCTTTCAAACATGATTGATGTTCTTTGAGCAACGTTGCATCCATGACTTATACATCTTGTACTACCTTTGTCCACATGACATCGAGAACATCCCGCGGTCGGCTTCGTCGTCTTCAAACATCTGGTTGCAGCAGTCCGCATAGAAGAAAGTTATCTATACTTTCCAAAATCCTCATGAATGGCACCAACGACATCTTCTCTGGACTCTCCGGTATGGTCACTTCCGCGGCCACCATAGCAACTTCGACGACCTCTGTCTGCTTCTCTACACCGAAGCGCTAGCCACGCTAAGAGTCTGTTTGACTATCATGGAGACTTGACAGAGAGCCAGGTCTCTGGACCTACTGGAGATGACAACTCGTCCCGACGTGCAATACTTTTGACAATCGACTACTCGTCCTGGACAGGGAGAGATATACCTTTTACAGGCTCTTGGTGGATGATTACAACGACGCAAATCATGCATTCTATGAGGATAACCTGATCTGCGATTGAACTTTGAAGCTGTCCTTCTCTGCTCGATTATGACTTACCAAGAAATTCAACGAACGTCAACTTGCAATTCTAGGCATACATATGCCCAAATGATGAGTTAGTTTCTTACCCAAAGGCAATGTCGTCAAGTCGCGGTGTTATGCGAAGGTTATTGCATCAGGACCAGATATCAGTCATAGGCCAGGCTCATCACTCTACTTCGCCTCCAAGGAATAGTATACCTTCCTTCCTCGACTTTTGGGAATTCTTACGCATCAACAACTCGCCTTCTATCCGCAGCCATGTCGTATACACCACCATCCACGGATATGTTCGTCTTCGGCTCAGCCATCACAAATGATCCGACCCAGCACGATCATGTGGAAAATAGACATTATGACTACTTCATGGCGCTCCGCTTCCACATTTCCAAGACAGATCCCCGAGGTCCAGCGCTATGCCAAAAAGATATGCCGAATCCCTTCTTGCGACCAGGTAGTAGGAGATATCGAAACCAAGGAATTACGGTAGAACAGTGGGATCATCTACATCTTCCTCTAGACCCTTATAGAGCTTTTGACGATCATACGTTGGCTGAAGTGGATGAGATGTTGGTTAAAATGGAAGAAATGAATGGCGAAATCACACAACGTCACGATTCCGTACACTCAATATCTGCCGCTACAACACCACCGCTCAACCTCACCAGCGGTAATTCCACTCCTGTCCTCTCATCCCTACACTCTCGAATCAAGTCCTGGAAACCGAGGAAATCAACCACCTGGCCCCTCAAATTTACGAAGCACGCGCCAGAGGAAAATGCCAAAGAGACGAGACATGCACCTTTGATTTCCATGCAGCTCGACGATGATGAGTTGAGGAGACAATGCAGAGTCCTCTTCGAAGGACTTTATAACCCACATCATGGCCTCGTGGAGCAGAGACGAAAGCGATTATACGAGCTCCTGGGCGAACATGCCGAGTTGAGGAAATTGACAGCGCTGGAAGTTGGTGAGAAAGATGACGAGCAAGATGAGGACGACCGAATGGATGAGATATACGATGAAGACGAGGAAGCACTCTTCCAAGCACGAGAAGATACCTCCAACAACAACCCGTCCTCCACCCCCACGCACAAGAAAGTGAAGAAATCTTGGTCTTGGAAGAAGGTCAAGAAGATTGCGACGTGGCCACCGAAATCTAGACGAGTGGGCAAGGACAAGACAAAGAGGCTTGAAGAAGATGATGAGCAGGATCTTGCAAATTCGAGAGGGAGACAGAGGGAGAGGTAGAGGCAGGGCCCAGCGATGGAGTAAGATGATCCAATGATCCTGGGTTGGATGATGGAGGGAATTTATCCAATCGACAAGAGACAGGAGGATAGGATCATGTTTTGCGAGGTTTGGGCAGGTGCTTAGCGATGGACAAAGCTACTTTCGAGCCGTGACTTCCCTGGTCAAAGAAATGTTCTGCATCTTGCTGGCAATTACACGAGGAAGGCAATACCGATGCAGTTGTCTATATCACACACACCGAAGGCACCAACTCCTCTTACGTGTCTCAAAGCTCCAGGTAGAAAAACATCAGTCATCGACCTCAAAATGTCTCACGCAGGCAGGACCATTTTCAGACCACAGGCGATGACTCTGGAAAGTTGCAAAGCAGATAAAATGAGTAACCTACAAACACAAATCGATCTTACCTAACAATCCTCCGCCCATTCTTTCATTTCAGAAAGAATTACCTTCCTACCGCAACCGAAAATTTCTCTTCAACAAGTCTAAATCAAACCAACAACTGCCATATCATACATATCACGCGATATATGCAGACATGACATCCCCAAACCTCCGCCTCCGAGTCGCCAAAGGCTTTGATAATATGGATGATGGCGATAAATACCCACCCTTTCCGCCACATGAGTCCACTCCACAGATGCTGAAGACTACGGATGCGAAACTCGTACGATTGGAGAGGAGGAAATGGGTGCCTCGGCCCATTTCCGTCGTGATGGACGAAGCGATAACAGAGGAGAAGATTAAAGATGAACAAAATCAACAGGATGAACAAAATCAAGAGGAAGAGGAAGAGAACGCAAAGGGAGAGAAGCAAAGTCCGCTCGAACACCGACTCCACCAAATCAGACATTTACACCAACAACCTCTGATGCTGGTGTCGTGGTTACTTTGCTTCGTACATGCGTTGAACGCATACCTGAGTCAGAGCAGCAATGATGGTTCGATGTGGTTGAAGCAGATGCATAGGCTTGTGATGATGATTTTCGCAGTGGAGATGGCTGTCAACTACATCTCTTCGGGAAATTGTTGGGTGAGGAGATGGAGGGTGGAAGATATGGTCAAAAAACTTAGGTTGTAAGAGAAGGGGTTTTGAATAGATCACATGAGTGTCAGATCTCTTTTCTCCATAGCAGAAAGGGAGGCTGAGATGTGACATGGCCAGAATCACAGACAAACCACACCACAGCCGTACCAGCATGTCGAAATATCTCTCCACATAGCCATCGGAAGGCAAGATGTTTTCGACACTCAGGACAATGTCTGCTGAGACTAGACCCGTATGTGCTTTCTTCGGACAGTCGGCGTGATCTGAAAATCATTTTGCGTTTTGCTACCAAGTTCGATGATCAGTCCGCGATCACGGATGCAGAGATGAGACTTCGATGCCAGTGCGATCTCTCTTCCCGTACGCTTACCTGGCTCGAAAGTATAGATAGGCGTTGTATTCCATGTCTACTCTATGTTGTCCCGAGCCGAGACACAAGTGCCGTCCACTATTCTGAAACATAGTGTTCAGCCGTGATCCATGGATGTCAGCATGGCAGGGCATGCTAGGGTTGATATACCCTGCAGGCGTCCCATGGTTATACACATGTATGGCGTTCCACATGTCAGCAAAGCTCAGTAAGCCTTATACATGTATAGTAGTACAAGCAACACAAGTTACACAGCCCGGCACATATTGTACACACAGATAAGAATCTCACCGCTTGTCGGCACCTTTTACCTTTGCAGATTGCCATCACAGCTGTGCTTTGGGACCTGCGTCAAGCTGAGATATTGTTGCATATGCCTGATCCAGGGCGGCCCAAAGTAAAAGAAGCGAAGGGATACGAAGACAAAGATCTTCATATTGCGTTTTCCTCATGAGTGGCCTGTATGTTCGCAGATCTGTCTGGTTGTAGCTCCAACGCTCCTGCGTAAATGGTCGATCTTAAGAGCGAAAAGGTCTGGGATGCCTGCTTTTGGTTTCAGCTCCTCCGTTGAGGATGCACAGCAGAAAGGCTTGCTTCGGGGCAGAGCCGAAGCGAAAACGCCATGTAGCATTTCGGTTTCTTTTCCAAGCAGAGATCAACCTTTGCCTTGCGTCGAAAGGTGCCGTGGCGGCCGCCATGGCGTGGCCTGCTTTCTGTGACATGCAGAATAGACTTCTGCATACGGCAACCCGGAGATGCATATAGACGTGCAGTAGCGAAGTAGGCTAAATACCGCTGGGGCGGAAACTCCATAGCACCGGATGAACGCGTGTTTGCTAGAGAGAGAGCCAACTGCATATGTTTTCTCTATCCGATGGGCTTCGCGAAGAAGTGGATACTTGCTTTGTAGGCTGAGCAGAGTCAAGACTTTTTTGTGGTGCTATCTGGTCTTGGGTTTTATGGTTATGCTTCTGGGAAATTTAGGTTCGGTGTCAATCACTCAATGATTGGCAGAGTTTTGTTGGACCCAAGGGATCCTTCTGGAAAGGTTCGTGAGTCGTACAAAAGAGTTGACCAGGGTCACCCGGTTCCTGGCATAAAGATGCAGGGCTCCTTCGGACTTCGTACCACGTACATCAAGTCCTTTGTGCGCCTGGACTCTTCTTTTGCTATCCGACGGCCGACAATTCCGGCGATGGCTTGGCTATCATACGTCTCGTCTTTTTTGGAGAGAGTTTCACACTCCACGTAGCGCAATACGTGTTGCTGTGGAGAGCAGACATCCCCAAAGAGAACTGACTTGCATATTCATAGACGTTGTCAGGCCTCCAGCTGTAGAGGAGTCCGGCTGGAGAAGTGCGGCGTCCATTCAACGCGGGATGGCGGCATCATCACTTACGAACCCTTAGACCCTTTTTCTCAACTGGCTGAAACCGCAGACATGAGTTTTGTGTGCTGGCAGTGTCTTAGTTGCATGACTTTCTGAGTGTCCCATGCTGCATGATATTCCATCAGCAATGTCAGGTTTGGTTGCTCTGCACACGGTATCATTGTGTTTCATGTATCTGCCATCAACGCGGCATGCGTACGAATGGAGCGACTCTTTTTTGAGCAATCCAATGGTCGGTTTTCCTTGGTGGGGCGCTTCTGCCGCGCGCGACGCGGTTACTCGCATGAGGCTTTTTTTTTCTCGCTGTCCATCAACTTGTGGAACCCGGGAACAGGAAAATCGAGAATAAAGCTCCTAGGAAATCTCGATGGAATGCATACAAAAAGGCGGGGCGCATTTATTGGAAAAGGTGCGACTCGTTGCTTCCAGCATCCGGGTTGAACAAATGCTGTTAAAGAGAGTTCTCACGGATTGCTAGCCTTGTGGATATTTGTCGATATTGTGTTGCATGCGAAACACACTATGCGGTATGTGATCGGAGTTGTGAGGGCGGAAAGAGAGGCATCGGAGAACTCTGTTCATTGTAGGAGCACTCGTCTCTCTTATATCATAGCACTATTTCCTATCTACTCACATGTGTTTCACGTCTGTATATAAACATCATCTAAAAGACGACCTTGTTTTGATAGATCTCAATATAATTGCCAATGTCGTCATGAACTCCCCTCTGACCCTGATTTTGCACCTCGTTGTTGACTTCCTATTTCGCACGCGGCTCCTTTAATCCGTTTTGTTCATCAGACCTCCTAACCTGGGGAAATTGTGCATACAGACTTTCTGACTGTCTACCGTCTCGTAGAACTATCTTTTGCAACGTTTGATGCGACATTGTTTTATGACTCGCACGATTTGTGAGCTCGATCGCGAAGACCAAAGGGGGATTAGATTGAAGAGAGAGACAAGAAAATTCTCTTCTTCATCGAACAATCAATCTGCCGTCGCAAATAATGCGCACGACTCGAATAGAGGAGTGAAAGAATGGTAACAGCACGTGTACCCACGATCCGTGGTTTGGTTTTCGATTGTTCCTCCCGAATCGCACACACGCTTTCGCGATCTTCAGGAACACCCGCGTCCATCAAATGAGTTTCAAGCATCGGGACCTGTGCTTGCAAACGAATAATGCACTCTCGGGCGTCCGCGCCATAGCCGTGCAATCGCGGCCGTACCCTTTCTCAGAGGACGCCGGCAGGACAAAGCACGCCGACGACGTTCCTTGGATCGCGAGCGGAAGACAAACAGGCGACCGGAGCAGCAGGACATACGTGTTGCAAAGAGGACCCTGGAAGCAGGTATGATCGACACGCCGACGATGCCAAAGCCGTCAGTAGTATTGTACGCCTCGCTGTCACTGTGACTCGGCGGGCAGTGGTCGTGTAGCGGCCCGGCGGTCAAGAAAACGAGGGTCGAAGGAACACTTCCTTGATTTTTGTGCAAGCGGTGCAATTTGTTCCCAATTTAAGACTGTGCACGGGTCGCGGATGACGTCGCAGATCTGGAGATGCCATATTGATATCGATGAGGGACTGTATCGACAATGCTAAAGCTTGGAATTGCTTGGGCAGCGACGTGTACAAAGAGACAAGTTTGGAGAATCGAGATGATGATGTCGCAAGTAGATGGGTACCCACCTTCAAATCACGATACACAGCATCATGCCGTTTAGCTATGCAGAAGTTGCGGTGAATATGCAGGGTCTGGAAAGAGCACACGACAATCGACTGTTTTTGTGTATTTGGATAGGAGACCTCTATCGTATCCCCTTGATAGTTGGAAAGGGAAGAGTACGCCTCGGCTTCCGGTATCAGGCGGGATGATATGAATGTAAACACAACTTTACGCGCTATCAAAGTTCGATACTGCGTCGGTCCATAAACAATAATTCTCCCTGAGCGACGGCAGTCAGCATTAAGCATTCCACATGGATAGAAAAGAACGTGTCAATAGGGAAAGCCTTAACACAAAAGATTGTATAGGGGCGGTTCGCGGGAAACGGTCAACGGCTTCTGGAAGCCTCAAAAAGCCCACGTCGTGCGGGATGCCCAAGGATAGAGAGGCAAATTGCTAGATGTTCACGCCAAGCACTCAGGGAACATGCGAACGACTTTTTGGTCTGCAAACGGTTTGTCAGTCTCGAGAATAGGAACCATGACTTCTGACTCCATAGGATGGCCTGAAATACGTTTGGGATCGATAGCCTGAACGGTATGCCGAAATGAAAGGGAGATATGAACGACTGAGATGTAGTGTTATGATTGTGATTGGTATGAAGAGTCTATGCACAAGCGAAATTGGACTGACGTCGAGAGCGCCTTCGGTAGTTGGGCATCGATTAGAGTATACACAATCAACACGGAGAGCAGCGCCTAGATTTGTTGACAGGAGGACGCCGTATAAATTGATTGAAGTCTAAATATCTGACGTCAATCAGAGGCTCTCTAGTCGAGGCGGTCTGTCTTTTCGGAGCTATGCGAAAAGACATGTGTATTCGTTGCGCAATAACAGGCCTTGGACGCCTACTTCGAAGCCAACCCCAAAGTCCAAGCGTCGAGTGTTCTATCATCGAAGGGCCTGTCACGACTTTCAGGGCTTCTCGAATATGTCGGTCCGTACCGAGATCAGTTGTTGTGCTTTTTGGTAGTAATGCTCCAGCTGGTCCATTCGGTAAAGACGCTCGGTTGGATTTGCGACTTCGGGTTGTTGTACCATTCTTTCTGGAGGTTGTTGTAGCAGTCGGCAACATCCGAGTAATGTTTGGCGTCGAGGTTAATCAAAATCTTGGCAAGGAACAGACTTGAGCGACTGCAAGCGTTGCTGTGCAACTTGGAAGCGTTGGCTCGGATTTCATCGTGGACGGAATGCAACAGGGCAAGAACTTCGGATGCGTCGTCGGCTTCGGGGAACTTTTTGGTCTTGTTGCAAGTTCCGAAGAATTGTTGTAACAAGCCGAAAGCCTTGTCCGAGATCTGCTTGCTAGTGGTTGTTCGGATCAGCGTGAGCATCGGCAGAACCAAATCAAGAGTAAGCTTGTTGGAATGCTCCTGTTTGGCAAAGATGGTCAACAGATCAAGAACGCGGTTCTTGAAGTTGACAATGTTTTCTTTGGCGTCCTTGTTGTCCTTCTTCTTGTTGCTGGTGATCTTCTTACGCTCAGTGAAAATAGTAGTGAGATGTCCTTCAATAGCCATCATCTGTTCGTCGTCCATGTCAGATTCGTCAAAGTCCGAGTCTTCTTCCGTAGGTTTTGTCGTTTTCAATGCAAGGGCAAGTTTGTTCTCGAAGTCTTCGAGATCGGCGGCTTCATCGACTTCGGCTTCGTCCTCCGAGTCCTCCTCATCAGAGGATCCGCTCTCTGAACCTTCCACGACTTCAACGTCGCTGTCGATCTCGACATCGCTAGCACCTTCACCGTCTAGCATCTCAACGTCGGAAGCATCTTCGTCAGATCCAGACTCGCCACCTTCCTCGGCATCATCAGCTTGCTCAAAGAGCTCCTGCTGACCGCTGAGGTTCTCCGACTTGTCGAGAATATCCAACATTGATTGCAATCCTTCGGCATCAAGCTGGGAAGAGAAGGCTTCAAACACCTGTTGGGCAATCTTGCGATAGACAGCAGAAGGCTTGGAGATGAAGCTGAGCAAGATCTCGACGAGCATGACAGAAGCGTCTTCGCTCTTCTTCCACGACTGGTAGCACAGCTCCAAATCTTCCAAGACAGGAACGACGTCGGCCTCACCGTTGTAGACGAGCAAGATGGACAGGGCGTACAAGGCCTTGAATGCACGTAGAGGTGCCTTCTTACTTTCCTTCTGCTTCTGTTCGAGCTTTTTCAGAGCCTTCAAAGTCTTATGTGCCGTTTCCAGATTGTTCACAATCTCCTCATCAGCCTTGGTTCTCAGACCGGTCTTGGAGGCAGCATCGACAGTCTTGACCTCTTCGACGACCTTCTCGAGAATTGCGAAGTCGGTGTCCATACGTGCAGAGAGAATATGATTGAGACAAGACATGAGGCGCGAGCGGAACATCTCTTGGCTTGCTTCGGAAAGCGGAGGAGATGCCTTGAGAGCACCAGCAGAAGCGTCCGCATAGCCAAAAGGAACCATAGACAACACAAGAGACGCGATACTCTCATTATCCTTACCTTCCTCTGCCTGTTGCTTACGAGCCATGTTCAGCATCATATCGGCTAGGAGGCGGCGCTTCAGATCAGCCTGCGGTTGATCTTCGGCATTGGGCTTTGCGGAGAGCTGTTGCAAGAGTGTCAAAGCGTCCTTTGCGCTTTCGTCCTTTGCGCGAGCGAAGAGGTCCTCGGCCGTTTTGGACTTTGTCAAACGGTCAAAGTCCACAGCACCGTTGCCTGATAACAGACCCTTCAGCATCACTGGAATGCTTTCCTGATCAGACTTTGAGCGGGTAACCATTTGTGAAAGTGGACCCTTCGCTGCTTCATGGAGGTATCGGTCTTGTCCGGCACGTTGGTTGATGATGCAGCGCATGGCGTTTGGGCTGAAAACAGCATGAAGCAGCTGAACGGGTGCGGTCGAGATTCCCATGGAGACGACCTGAAGTCCTAAGGACTTGCGCTCCGTACTGGCGGATGCGGCAAATAGCCCCTCTGTCAACGGGTCAGCTAATCGTCCAAGATATACGACGATCTTGATAGGGTTCGTGCTTACGGTCTACAGCTTCCAGCCAGAATTTTTCAAAGTCAGACACCTTCTCCTCAGACTTCTTGCTGGGCTTGTGGCGTTTGTAGAGGTGAGATAGAATGATTGACCAGGCGAACGAGGGCGAACTCTGGGCAGCACCGGTGCTGTTACCAGTAGGGCCATCTTCACTTTGAGCGCCATTGTCACGAAGGATCTTCGCCACGGTACCTCTCTCCTTTGACGATAGAGGGTCGTTATGGTTCCATGATCCCTTGGGTAGCTTGGCGTCGGGAAAGAGGACAGATGTGGTCAACCAGATAGCAAGACCTTCGGGTGTCCTTGTGAGCTTGAAAGGCTCAAGTCTTTGGATGAGTAGATCGACATATTCAATATCGAGGTCTTCGATCTGAGTTAAGGTGGCCAATGTCTCATACAGAGTCACGCCGCATTCTCTTCGCAGCCAGGTGGTCTCGGTCGCGAGCTTGAAGATATGGTCAAGAACCTTTTCCCATTCAGTAATAGATACACCTTTCGCAAAGAGAAGCTGGCTCTGAATTAGAGACTTGAAACCAAAGCAACGACCTGTGAGATGATCTCTTCTTTCCTGTAGGGTCGATTAGCAATGCATTCCACGTAGCTGGGGCCGCGGAAGCCTACCTTGTTGTTGCTCTGCTCCTCGGGTTGGGTAATCGAAATGATTCTCTCGATTATTGCGGGAAGACTCAAGTCTACGCCTTCCACATCCGCAGAGGGAGATTTGGTGGTCAGCTTCAGGATTTCAATCAAAGCCACTGAAAATCCAGATCTCGCGGCTTTACGACTACTGCAGAGACCTCTGATCAGTCTAGTCAAGGACTTGTCCAGGGCTTCGGGATCCGCATCTGCAAGGGCACGAATCAATTCTGCAGCGGCCTTCAGTCTGGTTGCTTTTACATCGTCCGACAGATCGTTGTATAGCGCGGCCAATTTAGCGTCGGCAACACCAAATTCGACACGTCGCTTGCGCGAGGGATGGGTCGTATCATGGACCGCCTCATCTTCTCCGTTCGAATTTCGGCGACGCTTTCCAGCCATGGTGGAGAGTGTTTGATGAGGATGTGTCAGGGTATATGCAATGGCAGAGCAACCGCAAAGACATGGCGCCGCAAAGAATTTCTGATAATGATAATCTTTTGCGGGGAGATGCTCTTGGCGTTATGGATCGGAATAAGCACAAGACCCTGAACAGCGTCGGATGCAAGCCGCAAAGCTGGAGCACAGAGAGCTTGTTTTTGACATTTTCCACACTGATGCAAATGGAGAAGCACAAGATTGATTAACGAAAAGCTGGGCGATATTGTGCCCACACTGCATGGCGCTTTTGGATTTCAAATATACGAGCAAAGCAAAAAACGTTTCCCTGGAGATTCGACGCGCGAGAGCACGCCAGCTTTGAGCTTGTAGCACACGGCCGAGAGAGCTACCACACCATCGAAGCTGTATGCGTCCTCGTACACGCATGGCACGGCGCACTTGCGACCGCTAACTCAAGGGCCCATATCTTCAAGACCCTGCGAGTCAAACTCCACGCCCGCATGCATCGTGACGACGACTAGCAAAATTCTCTTTTCCTCGGATTGAGTGACTGAAACATATGCGCGAGATTGAGAGATCCATGTGTCTTCTCCACTCCACCATCAGCAAAGTCAGGGACCTGCGTCGACGCGTGATACTATTATGGCTCTCGTCTCGACCGGGGAGAAGCAAGACATGCATTGGTGTCTCGTCGTCGCCGTGCCATCCGGCTGAATGGATGTGCTGAACAACGTCTACCTTGGTATTATCGAAGAAACCCAACGATCATGACGGATGAGGCAGAGGATTTGAGTCGAGGGTTTCATGGTTTGGCGCAGGAGTGCAGATAGGTATCGTGACAAGAATCGATAGTGGTGTTGATCGTATCGGTGTTGTGCCTATCAAATAGTGGCGCGATGGTGGATGAAATTTTGTGTGTAGAGACGTGGCCGTTCATCGATGCGTGATATGTAAAATTTGGCTGCGATAGACGTTGCTGTGAAAAGAGTGCAAGTTTCATGCTGACTTAAGCTGGGGAAGTGCTGTTATATGACCGGTACAACGACCTACAATGCAGCTGGCATACTTTGAGTTCCAAAGCCGTTAGCAAATCAATCGTAAAAACCTCCGGCTCAGTTTCACTTCCCAAAGACCCATAGGTCCCATACGACCCACATGCTTTCTTTTTTCTTTCTATTGAAGGTCTGTTCTCCGCCGAGCAGAATCTACTGCAATCTAGACGAATTGGCTGGTACGACGGTCTTGGTGCGGAACGAACATGGGTCGAGGATGGATCACCATCTGCTGAGCAAAGAAAAACTCACGCGGGCCGGCGTCGAGTAAGCTGCGGATGCAAAGGCAAAGCGAAGCGAACAAAGCAAAAGCAGTGGCTGTTCGCTAGGAAACGCCAATGGACGAGTATTGGGGAAGGGACGCAAAGGTATGGATAGCAAGAGTGCGACTCAATATCGTCGGTAGAAACGGGCGATATGCTTGGATAGATATATGGATAGGGACGGACAGCCCTATACAGAGGACTAAAGTAAGAATAGCATATCACGTGCATGCATCAGGAACAGTATTAGCAGTATCCGCACTCGCGGATCTGTCACTAACTTTGTTTATCGCACAAAGCGGAGCAGCACACCCAACCCTGACCTCCACAAATCTGTATGCCTGTAGCGTGCACACGGGGTGGATACGATATCAAGCCATACCCGCGCCCAAGAAAATAGTCGAGAAGTGACACGACGATTGGACCGCAGCTGAGCAAGCCATCGCCCGTGGTACTATTTACTCGCCAGGGACTGGCAGGGACTGGAAGCTTGGGGACCGCGCCGCGATAGGGAAATCCGTGATTCTAGTCAGAAAAGTCTCTGGCTCCGGCGACGGCGTACGGCAAAGCCGCATGTCAGTGTCCTCAGGGCGTTCGTCGGTGCTTACCAAACGCATCGTTGCAACGGAGACCAGCCATTAGTCGTGATAATGTGCTTCAGGATATTAAAGCAGAATTTGCTGAGAAAGTGATCATCAAATGCCGTGTTGTGTTTACCTCGATAAGATGGAACTAATCCAACAACATCAGGCGGGCGGAGTAGGCATGCAGCAGGTTAAGATGTGATCGCACGGCACAAAGAATGACGTCGCATGCATTAGAGCAATCGTATGGTTCGCGGAGAATCTGCGATTGGAGAAGAGTGATGCACACATCGGAGTTGAGAGGCAGCTTGCGAAGCCACGCGAGCGCAGCACGCAAATGGCAGCTTAGAATCCACTTTTGGTTGTCTACGAAACGCCGTTAAAAGCGGGCAGCCGTGCGAGGACCGGTTTCATCCAGAAGGAAGGATACGCCAAACGCGGACGCCAGAGGATCGTCTAGCCTGATCGTACTTAGCCAACCACAGAACGTGGTCATGCATCCGGACGTATTCTTGTTCCTGGCGGAGAATCGCCCATGACGCCAGGTAGTTATATGAAGGAAGGGTCTTGCACATTATATTATGTTGGATCAAGGCGTGATGTTGACGTACCTGCAAATAAAACGACCAAAGCATGCGAGGGGGAAGCCAGGTCGGGCAGGGAGAAGTCAATTGACAGGAAACGCAGCCGAAACGACAATGGGATTGTTCCCATTGAGTTTGATGTTCGTGTGCTGCGGCAAGGAGATATGGCAGTAGGATGCGAGGATTGACAGAGTCACCCTCTGAAGCAAATGGTGTCACAAAATAGAAGCAGCATCTATTCCCGAAGCGGTGGTCGTAGAAGGACGGTGCTTGGTCTGTGGGACGGACGGCTTCGGCGGGCGGCGGCCCTTGTCAGCGTCGAGCAAACCTTTGACAATCTACCGAGCAACGAGACAATAATCTGCGTTGTTGGTGTCGTCTCTTTGGCGTGTCGACGGAGCGCGTCTGAGTATCTGTGCGGTGGGTGGGTAGATGTAGAAGGGTGGAACGGCGGTACGAAGGCTGCAACCAGGGCAACTCTGATTTCTGTACTCTCTTATGTTGAGAATTACCCCTCTCTCGTGATGCATGCAACTTCACGACGCACACGGGACAGAGGGGAGCAAAATATGTGGGCTTGATCGAAGCAGTCGTCGGATCGTAGCAGCTTCTCGGGACGTCGACAAGGCTTGACAAGGCTCATGACGCTCCGGGGTGGAGGATGTGTATCGACGATGGAGAGCTGTGCAGCTTTCACCTTGAGTTTCCAAATGCTATGCATGATCAGCTGCAGGACGAGCGGTAGCGGCATATGATTTGTCCAACGGGAGGGCCGTTGCTGCGCGCTTGTCATGCAGTTCGGTTTTGGCTAGGGCATGCTTGATGGATCCTCGCTTGGTCGCTTGGACCGCTGGGGCCCGGTCTGCGTGTGTGTGACAGACAGTTTGTTCAGAGTTCGTGGGGCTGTCCATGCTGGGCCATCCGTCGCGCTTGCTGGTCGTGCGTTCCTTGCCTTGGTTGGATTCTTGGCCTGGCCTGCCTGAGCTTGCTGCTGTGTGCAATCTCCATGCCAACGCTCTTCCTTGCCGTGAGCCTTCTTTTATCAAGCCGCGCCCGCTTCAAGTCACCTCTTGCTCCTCAGAGAAGGCAGTTGAGCCGTAGTCATCCCACCGTTGCCCCGATTGTGCACCTGGATTAATAGGACCAAGAGCGACTCCATTCTACCAAACCCACTCGCCGCCCATCACCCACCATCACCCACCACCATCCATCCTCGACGCCAATTTGAGCTTCAGCCAATCACCATCCGCAATCCACTCGGCCATCCTCCAGCATTGAATATAGCTATACCACGATCAATTACCATCCACCATCCACCATCCACCAATAGCAGCATTTCCAGCAACAGCACCGCCCCCATCGACCAGCAACCATATCTATGCAGTCCAGCCTACAATTACGCAAATCCACAATCGGCCAGCAGTGACTTCTATCCCGCTTTACTGGATATTTTAATCAATTGCATCCCTCACTATCGACATATCTATCACCATGTCTATGATGGAATTCTCCTCTCCCCTGGCTGCCATGCACCCACCGCCGTGCCCGCCGTGGGGCCACCGCCGTGACCTGCCTGCATCGAGAGCCATGTACCAGTCGCAGACGGTCGGATCTAACAGCTTCAACTTTAAGGAATTGAGCATGAAGAAGACTGCCCCTGACTACTTCACAATGCGTCCGGCACGTGGCTCATCGCCTACAGCCAGTCTCGCAGCAGACCTGTCGTCCAACTTCCACATTGATCAGAGGTATGCACCACATTCCTCCACGTCTAGACCAGAGTGCCCAAAGCTTACAATCCACAGCCCACAGATTCCTACCCCTAGACGCTCATTGTTCAACCAAAACCTTTTCTTGCCCCGTGACAGATCAGAGCAGCTCGCAACTCCCCCGCTTATCGAGTACGACGGCCTCTGCACCCCTCCCATCCCCATGTCGTCGCCCGGTGACATGATGGACATCTCGCCCCTCCCCCACAAGCAGCCCTGCTTCGTCGCCCACATCACTCTCCCCTCGCCTTCGCCCGAGCCCACCGAGCACGATGACAACGACATGCTTTCCTGCCAAGAGGCTCTTTCTCTTCCCACCCCCGAGAAGCCCACCCTCATGCCTCTTCCTGAGCGCAAGAAGTCGGCCTTCCTTAGACCTTCCCTGGCTAGAAGCAAGGGTCACTCCTACTCCACCACATCAGTACCTCAACAAGAACACAAGCTCCCCACATTCAAGTTCGGCGGTTCCGGCCTCAGCTGCACCTCGAGCCCTTCTTCAGAATGCGAATCATCGCCTTCCAAGTCATACATGATCCCCCCCTCCCGTCGCACTTCCCTCTGCCGCAACAACGGCTCGCCTCTGGGTTCGCAAGTCCGCAAGTCCGCCGCCGTCCGCCCTCCTCCCAGGAAGCAGGTGCGCCGTTCGCTTAGCATGTTTCAGCACCCCGACGATGTCATCAATGGCCAACAGGACGATTACTCTCACATCAACTCGTCGCCTTCCGTCTCGATGGACCTCGACGAGCCA